CACACACACACACACACACACACACACACACACACACACACACCAGGATGCTGATTCCTTAGTCATGTGATCCTATTTTGACTGCTATGGTACCTCCTTGCCAGGAAGGATGTTTGTCGATAACTTTATGATTTACTCTTTGGCTCATTTAGGATTTTGCTTAAATGTCTCTATTGGAGAGCTTTTCTCTGATTTCCCTATATAAATTGTTAATAAAGTCTGATTTCAGGGGCTGGAGGAATGGCTTAGTAGTCAAGAGCACTGGCTGCTGTTGCAGAGGACCTGGGTTCGGTTCCCAGCATCCACATGGTGGCCGACAACCTTCTATAATTCCAGTTTTATGGGTCTGACACCCTCTTCTGAACTCTGAGGGCATTTGCATGACACGGGTGCACTTACCTACATGCAGGCAATACACTCATACACAAAATAAAAATAAAATATTTTTAAAAGTTGTTTGTGGGGGCTGGAGAGATGGCTCAGTGGTTAAGAACACTGTTCTTGCAGAAGGCCCGGTTCAAATCCCAGCACCCACATGGCAACTAACAACTGTCCGTAACTCCAGTTCCAGGGGATCCAACAGCCTCTTCTGTCCTCCGTGGGCATTGCACGACACGGTGCACTTACCTACATGCAGGCAATACACGCATACGCACAAAATAAAAATAAAATATTTTAAAAAGTTGTTTGTAAATAAAGCCTGGCTTGACCACTGACAGCTTTTAGCACCTTCTCCTTCCTCTTTCCCTTCTCCCTAGTTTTGTCAAGAGCACCAAGTGCTCCTTTCTTCAATACCTGTGGGGAATTCAAGCCTCATACCGGAGCCATTGAAACCAGTGTTTCTGTTGTCAGACCATTTTTAAGATGGGTCTAAGAGCCACCTCCTCCCTAGAAACGTTCATTACACCCAGACTAAACCCTTGGCTCCCTGTTGGTGTGTAAGGTCATCCATCTTGATATTTGAACCATCTTCCCAGTGTGGGGCCCATGAGGGAACAGCCATCACTTATAGTCCACCTCTGCTGTGTCTCTGTTACCTTGGATTTGTTTATTGTTGGCCTCCCCCACTAAACACGTCCTGAGAATCTAGTGAAGTGTGTGGAACATCACCCCCCCCCCGTCACTCATTCACAAATAGTTACTCCATGCTTGCTTTGCTACTGTTAAAGGTACTGGTGCTACAGAGGTGAATACACATGTTCGGCTCCAGACGGTAGGCAGGGAAGTGTTCAGTAAACATTTGTTAGATGGTGCTACTATTGGGCTGCACATGTGTGAGGACAGAGTCTGGATCCCCAGCACCCACGTAAAAAGCCAGGTGGGTGTGGCAGCTCACTTGTATTTCCAGCACTCAGGAGAGCACAGCGGGTTCTTCAGCCAAGCTGGCCAGCTGGACTGGCTCAGTCAGCAAGTCTTAACACAGAAGGTGGGGTCACCAAGGGAGACCCTGCATATCGATTTCTGCCTCATCCGCACAAACAGATTTAGGAGACCAGAAAATGGAGGAGTTTAGGGTTTAGAAGTAAGAGTCAGAGCCAGACCTGCACCAGGCAAGGACGGCGTCCTTCATCAGGGGACACAGCGAAGGGCAGGACCTTCCCATGGGATGAGGGCATCTGCAACTAAGGCATGGGAGGTCTTGACTTTATGAATTTTACTGAGCACAGCTGCAGGAACTTTCCTGGTGCCAGGGTCTGGTGTCTTGGGTAATTGAAGGTCCTCTTCCTAAGAGTAGGTCCTCAGGCAGGGCAGGTGAGTTATCTGTGGCATTCGGGGAGACAGATCGGCCCCATAAACAGTCTCCTTCACTCTGGGAGTGACCAGTTGACAAGGCTTGAGTAAGGCCAGGCTGCCAATTCAGGGCCAGTTGGCCACTTTAAGGGAATTTGACTTTATGACTTCCCTTAATGGAGCTTATGTCTCTTGCAGTTCATGCATCCTGACATACACATGTGCATCTACACACATACAAACACAGCACACATTCAAATAAAGAGTAACTGGTTTTCTCTGGAGGTAAGATACTAAAAAGAAACAATAGAAAAACAATTTTTTCCAGTTTTGCCTCAAAAGTATTTATTTAAAAATAACACTTAGCAATTTATACTCACAAGACATGTATGTATACAAAGTAAACAATCAGAACACACTATTACAGGATCAGCACTGGAGTTCCTAATTTGCACCTTGATGACATTAGTGAGACTGGAGAGCTGATTTCTGGCTAATCATGAATAGCTGATTTGTAATACAGATGAATATCAAGGAAAATTTCAAACACTACCACCACTAAAAGAATGTCATTTTCTTTTGAAAAGAAAAAAAAAGTAAATTTACTCAATGTGACCATTAAGGAAGTGGAGCAAAGAGATCCAGGGACCTCTACTCCCTCCCCACTCCCATCCTGCCGAGTCTATCTTGGCATCCTGACGTGAGGTTCAGGTTTCAGCAGAGGGTAAGAGGTATGCCTAACTAAGCAGTCTTGGTCCAGGTATGCCTGCCCGCCACCACTGCCTAGGCTCCTGTCTCTCCTACAGAACGGTAGGAGATGTTTTCCTGGGAGACAGGTTCCCCTCCGGCTCCTACCAGGCTTCAGCCTTTCCTTCTCCCAGCATGAGGCTCCTGGGGAAAGCCCAGTTTGTTGGGGTTCATGTCTTCACAGTCTAATAGACGAAGGGCACACACTAGTCACTAAAAGAGTATAGTTTTATTTTTATTTTAGTCTACTGACTGTTTTCCTGCATGTATGTTAAGTGCACCATGTGTGTGCCTGGTGCTGGTAGAGGTAAGAAGAGGGTATCGGATTCCCCTGGAACTGGAGTTAAGGATGAATTTTAGCCACCATGTGGGTGCTGGGAACCAAACCCAGGGCCTCTGCAAGAGCAGTCAGTGCTCTTAACCACCCTACCTAGCCCCAAGACTGTAACTTTGTATCTCTTCGGCAACAACCGTAAAGCCCACTCATATCAACATTGTATTTTGTTGCTATTTCTCTTCTCTTCTTGAGAACAGCTATGAAGGCACAAAGTGCTGACAGGCAGTCAAACAAGAGCTAATCAAACAGTTGCTAAGGTTGGTGGAAAGGCAGACTGCAAACTTGAGTGTGGTTTAGCTCCACCCAAAAAGCAAAGCACTCCCTTGCCCACCAGTGCCATGAACACGGACTACTCTGACTTCCAGAGTGGATTTTTAAAATTCATTGCAAAGATTTAGCAACTTTCAACATTTTACAAACACTGATTTTAATGCCTGGTAAGAATCTACTTAGCATTTATGTAATTAAATTTAGCAATGTCACACAAATGTAAGTTATGACTAGACAGTAAGAATAATCACACGATTATGTCTGGAGTATAAACCTAAGATAAACTCTGCTGGTGGTATAAACAAATGAAACTGGCTTAACAAACGGGAGCAGAAGAAAAGACAATGCCTCAGTTATAGATCTTTGTTCCTGATAATCTCCTTCACATGGAGCTACAAAATAACATGAACACCATGTGGCCATACCCTTGCCTGCTCAAATATCAAAAGAGGAAGAAGAAGAGGAGGAGGAAGAGGAAGAAGGGAGGAAAAAAAGAAGGAGGAGGAGGCGGAGGAGAAGATTTAAGAGGTGAAATGGCTCTTTTGGAATCACTTTCTCAGCGCTGAGGATTATTAAGCTGGGGCATCCCCAGCCCTCTATTGGATTTTGCATTAGTATCAGTTAAAGTGCTGTTTATCCTTAGCTAATCATTCCTTTTTCTAAGTAGGCATCGGCGGATTTAATCTCTTCCAAACAAATGGGTCTCCTTTGGCTGGTCAATTCGGTAGAGAAGCTGTGCAGGTGAGAAGTAGCCGAGATACTCCACCAAGTCCGGAGTGGTGTCGTAGTGGTAGTGCCCACCTTCACCATGGTGACTGAAGAAATGGGTGTGCTCCAGCCGCAAGTCCAGCCCCTAGGACGGCAGACAAGCTGTGAGTGTGCTCAAGCTACCGTTGATTACAGTGTCTTCAAGGGGAGGGAGAAAAGTTTTATCTTACCAGGTTTTTTTATTATTATTATTATTATTTTGGTTTTTGAGATAGGCATTCACTATGTAGCTGAGGTTGGTCTTGAACTCCCAGCCTTCCAACCTGTATCTCCTGAGTGACAGAACTGTAGGATGTGCCACGAACCTAACTAAACCCAGGGCCTCATGCATGCCAGGCAAGGTCTCTACCAGTGAGCGGTTTCTTCGGTCCACTGAGCTGTCTTGTCTCTTAACCAAACAATACAGTCATATCATAAGAAAATCAAAGGATGCAAAGGGTATAGTCATTAGACTGGGTTTCCCTCCCTTCACCGTTTCCTTTCCGTGAGGTAAGAAACACAAGCACTTCCTTGTGTACCCTCCAGAAACTTGGGCTCACTCAAGCTGCAGCTCCACGCTGTTCTGCCTATTGCTTTTTGAAAACCAACAATCCAGCTTTCAGAACCTGTCCTGGCCTAAAGCCGTGGCATTTCGTCATGCTCACACGGTATTCCGTTCAGGGACACGGTGTGCTAACTGACACATTATTTCCATCTCTTCTGTTACTACAAAGTGTTGGCATCCATGACCTTTTAACTAATCATTTTAGTTTTGTATGCATTTACAGATGAATCCTACTGGCTGGGAGGGGCTCAGCACTTAGGACCGCATACTGCTCTTCTGGAGGACCAAGCTCGGTTCCAGCACTCATGTCTGGCAGCTCACACAGCCTGTAACTCCAGCTCCAGGGGATGGTGTCAGTTTTCTCTAGCATGCAGCATCAAACAACACAGCGGGAGACTTGAGTTCTAGTTGTGATTTTATTATTTTAAATTTTATTTATTATTTTTATTTTATGTGTATGTGTGTATTGCCTGCATGTAGGTAAGTGCACCCATGTCTGTGTCGGGCAGTGCCCACAGAGGACAGATCCCCTGGAACTGGAGGTTACAGACAGTAGTTAGCTGCCATGTGGGTGCTGGGATTTGAACCCGGGTCCTCTGCAAGAACAGCCACTGTACTTAACCGCTGCACCACCTCTTCAGCCCCACTTTTGTGTTATTTAATGCCTGTTCCTTTACTTTCTTGTCTCTTGACGGTCTGAATCTGCTCTGCCTACCTCTCAGTGGAAAGGACACCTCCTCCCTCATTTTTCGAGATGATTCCCATAGGCTGTGCATGGCAGGGCATGCCTCTAATCCCAGCACTCAGGAGACAGGCATCAGAAGCTCAGGAAAATCCTTAGCTACATAGGGAGTTGGAGGCTGGTCTGGACAATGCATGAGACCAGGTCAAGAAAATCCAGGGCAGGGGCTGCAGAGATTCACTGGTGAAATGTGTTCTGCACTTGCAGAGAACGAGCTTCAGTTCCCAGCACGTACATGGCAGCTCACAACTACCACCTGAGATTTGATGCTGCCTTCTGGCCTCCATGGGGACCAAGCACATGTGATACACATACATAACACAGGCCAACACTCATATACATAAAATAAAAATAAATCTTCTTTAAAGATGACTTCTAAGACGATTCTCATTCCTAAATAACAAAAACACAAATGATTTCATTCTAAAGAACAGTGAGGCAGCACGATGCCTCAGTGCTTGCAGCCAAGCCTAACAACCCGAGTTCAATCCCTGGGACCACGCTGTAGGAGAGGAGAACCGACCCCTGCAAGCTGTCCTCTGACCTCCACATGTGCTGTGGCCTGCACACACTGTGTGCACATGCACACTTGAACACACACATACAGAATAAACAAATCACTTAAAAATATGCCCCCAGGCGTTATCACTGTGTATAAAAGGCAGACCAAGACTCACCGGGTCTTTGGAGACAAAAACTGGCAGGCAAAGCAAAGGAGCCGTCATCTCATAGAAATGTAGCCAGTGATTGACAGCCTCATCTGAGGTCAGCGGGCAGGAGGAAAACTCTGCAGGCTGCAACACAGATTGTCAAATAGAAAATATGCTGAGTGTTACTGGGAATTTAAAAGTGTTCAGGTAGAATTTCACGCTCCACATTTTGTCCTCTCTTCCACAGTCTACCGACTGGTTTTAACATTAGTTATACACCCTAGTTTTGAAAAGGACTCTGCCTTGTGCTAAGGGTACATCTTGTAGTAGAGCCCTTGCCTACATGTGTGAGGTCTTGGTGTCTATCCCTAGGACAACACCTGCCCCAAGAGAAAAAAAAAAACAAACAGAAAACCCCCACAACTTATCATTGCTGGGGATGTAGCTCAGTGGCAAAGGATTTGCTTGCCTAGCATTTGTGAGGCTCTGGGTTTGGTCACCAACATGGCAAAGGATGAAGAAAAATCAGTAGCTGTTATTGAAATCTTGATTTCTTTCTTAAGTAGAAAAATCTATCCTGGGGCTGGAGGGATGGCTCAGGGGTTAAGAGCTCTTGCTGTTAAGTTCCCAGAATCCACATTGGGGATGAGGGATGAAGGTGGGGTTCACAACTGTTTGTAACTCCACCTCCAGGAGAATCCAGTGCCTTCATCTAGCCTCTGAGGGCACACATATACAAATAAAAATTTTAAAATCTAAGAGAGAAAAACCCATGCTAAAATTTCTATGGAATTTTAATGAAATTTTCAAAACAATTTTGTGAAAGTCTGAGGCATCATACTTCATTTCTAAAATTATAACAAAGCTACAGTAATCAAAATGGTGTGCCTACTGCACAGACACAGACCAAAGTGACAGAGTAGAAAAGCCAGAAGTAAAGCCTGACCTAGGGGTTGAGGACTGCCAACAGGAGTGCTAGCACCACCAGTGCAAATGAACCTTTTCAGCAAAGGGCATGGGGAAACCGAATACGCACATGGCAAAAGAATGTTGTACTCTCTGTACCATATATGAAAACTGTTTTCAAAGGGAGCCAAGATCTAATCTAAGCTAAAACTTAAGAAAAAAACAAAACAAAACAAAACAAAAAACCCCACAGGGGAAAGGTTTTGTGACACTGGAATTGGTCATAACTATTTGAAAATTTAAAAGTTCTATGGGGCTGGAGAGACAGCTCAGCAGTTATGAGTGTTTTGCGTGCATGTTTGTATGTGCACGTATGAGTGGACACGCGAGCTACAACCACCTTTCAGCCATTGTGAAGAATCCTGCTGTGTGCATGGTGCAAAATCTCCCTGTGCCTCTGCGTTCAGCTTTCTGACTGCGTGCTCACAAGGAGAATGACGAGATTGAGATGAGTCTGTGTTTAGCACTTCTCACTTTTTATTACTCTGTGTACCTGGGTGTGTGTGTGTGTGTGTGTGTGTGTGTGTGTGTTCGTGTGTACACACGCCCACAGCACACATGTGGAAGTCAGAGTCAGTTCTCTCCTTCCACCACGTGAGTCCCACTTATACTGGCAAGCTGGTCTCACCCCTTTGGGCCCCAGTGCTTCTCAACCTCAGCCTCTGAGTGACTGGGTCTGCAGGCCCCTGCCGCTGCACAGACTGTAAGATGTGCTTATTAACCAGGTCTTCTTTCCCCCAGAGCACCGTTATTTAGGAGCAAAATCTTCTGTGTTTAGTTTCAGAGTCTGCAGTGACAGAAATTAGACTTGCCTGTTTTTGGTGGAGGAGGCAGGCGGGTAGGCAAGTACTCCCCCGCCCCACACCCCCAACAAGAAATTTAAGGCTATACCTGCATTTATCTTAATCTTAAAATCAAGCACATTGAAAAGGAAGTCTAATACATTGACATGAAAAAAAATCACTCTACCTAGACATTATCTCTCAATATAATTTATGGTATTGTTTGTCATTTAATGTTTTTACTTTTTTTTCGACACAGGGTCTTGCCATGGAGCCCAGGCTAACCTTGAAATCTTAATCCTCCTGCCTCAGTCTTCTTGAGTGCCAGGGTTATAGGTGCACATCACCCTGCCTGGCTGCTGTTTAAATTTTAAAGTAGTACATTCATAGCAAAATGATTTGTTCAGTGTGTCTTTGAAGGCAGAATTCCTAATACACTTAGGAATCCTAAGGTCTTAAGCATGTGCATGTATCCATGGGCATGTATCCATATGTGTTCATGCAAGCCAACACAGAGCCCTTACCATGATGTGGGCCTTGACTTTTCCCTTCTGTACGATGAAGGTGCCTCCCATCCCCACAGGCTTGTTCCCATAATGCTTCTCCAGAGTTTGCCTCATGCAGGTCACAAAGTTGAGCTGTCCGGTTCTTCTTTTGACTTGCACCTCAATGACCTACGGAGGAGTGGGCACAGCCGAGTAAGCTCTAGAAGTCTATGCGGATTGCCACCACAGCTGCCGCAACTAAATATTCTTGCCTGCTCCGTGACCAGATCCCAGTTGAGGTGTCTCAGTCCTCATGTACCTTAATTACACACACACACACACACACACACACACACACACACACACACAGGCATAAAGAGATTCTCTCACATGTACACGGAGGCATATACGGACTCACTCTTTCTCACACACACTTTAGTTATATATAATTTTTATAACTTCAGCAATCTTACTCATGAGCCCTTGAACTGAGTTCCGTTCTGAATGCTAGAGACCATTGCCGTGTATGCCAAAGTGGGAAAAGTTGGGGAATTATCGCCTTACAGAGATCCACCTGGTACATGGGCTGGAGCGGTTCAGATGACCTCACTTGGTATAGAACTCCAGACGAGGCTCCCCTGTGGCATCGGCACCTTTTTCTCTATCTCACTTCCTATTAGCTGAAGTAGCCGTCTTCACTTACAAGTGGAAATCCTCACAAATGCTAACACTGGAATCGAGCTCATTACTTCTCCCTCTCTGGCTGTTCTCATTTCCCCCATTTCTAGCACGATGTTGTTGGTCAGAAATAAGTATCTGTTCACGACCTGTGGTGTCTGAATGAGGATGTCCCCATGGGCTCAGTGTCTGAACACTTGGCCCTCAGCTGGTGGGTGGTGGTGTTTGAGGAGGTCATGGGGCCTTTAAGAGGTGGAGCCTTGCTAGAGGAAGTTAGTCACCGAGGGTGAGCTTTGCAGGTGCATAGCCTCATCTTACTTTCTGTTCTCTCTCTGCTTCCTGTGTGTGGATGACCTGTCCAACCGGCTTCCTGCTCCTGCTGCGCCCTCCCCACCAAGATGGACTCTGCCCCTCCAGAACCATGAGCCAGAACAAACCCTCTCTTCCTTAAGTTGCTTTTAGTCACGGTATTTTGTGTCAGCAACGGAAGAGCAGATACTGCACCACCTACAAGCAGACAGCATCTATTTGCTCCAGCAGAGTGCCTTAACGGAAGTGAGAAACTCCTAAATGAATATCTTATTACCTTTCAGTTACTCAGAAACATGTCCTGACTAGGAAATATTCTTAACTTTGGTTTTAAGGAAGACTTTGAGCCTGCCTGCACTATTCTAATTTTTTATTAACTAGCTTATATAAAAGCTTTGACATTGTTACTTCTGCTTCTCTTAGGAAAACTATCTTTGGGGTAGTAAAAACTCAAAGCTTTAGCTATCTGAGACACTTAAAGAATGCTGTATTCTTATGGGCAAAGTCACCTTGCCAGGTTGGCCCTCGCTGGCAAAAAGATTAGCCAGTAACGCACACCCAAAATCATGGCCTCTTTGGCTATACTTCTCCAGCAGACATCCTCCATCTGCAGGGTTAACACGGGCGAAGTAACTTCCGTTCACAGGATGGCTGTGCTCACTTTCTGTTTGAACAATTGGCATAAACTGAAAAGAAAATAGTGTCAATGCAATAAAATGTTTTTTTCAGACTTTAAGGTATTTCAAGTCTTTATAGTCGCATATTTTTGTGGCACTGGGGATTGAACCCAGACCTTCACTCATGCTAGGAAAGTGCCCTCCAATGACGTACATTCCTAGCCCTTACTTCAAATCTTAATAATAATAATATCATTCCCTAGTGCCACAAAACAAACAAGCAAAAATGTTAAGTATTTAATTTTAAATTACAAAAAACAAAAAGCCCAAACAGGAAGAAAGAGTCATGGCTTCGATCTTCAGTGCCCCCCCAATTCTCAAGCTTGGAAGCCTGATCCTCAGTTCAGAACTGTTCAGAAGTAAGACCTCTGGAGGCTCTGACCTCACGAATGGATTAATCCATTTATGGCCTTTAATGGACTCTGGGGAACAGGTGACTCTCCCCTTCCTGCAGTGTGAGCAGCTTTGTCCTGCCATGTGTGCCCCACAATGTTTTATTACCCCACAGGTCTAGAGCCCTGGGGCAAAGCAGCTGCTCTGACATCAGGAGCAGAAAGCAGCCTTTGCAGTCATTTTGTCACAGCTATGGGAATCTAACACAAAGACTGCATAAAACATTTACAATCATTTCCTTTTCCTAGAGACCACCTCTCGCTGTCAGTCAGGCTGAGCTGTAACCCGCTATGGAGTCCAGGCTAGCCTGGAACTCATAAACTCGGGATCTTCTGGCCTCATGCTCCTTGGAGCTCAGATGAGTGTGTGGACCACTGTATCTGGCAAAATGCCTTCTTTGAGCTCGTTCCACACTCAGGGAAATCCTCCTGCTTCGACCTCTCAAATGTCGGGATTATAGGCCTGAGTCACCATGCCTGGCTCAAAATGTCTAATCATATATTTTAATACTTCTCTCTTGAAGAGTAAGCAAGTTATTTCATTACAAGAGAACTCATGTGACTTTTGATTAATAACCCATCTAAAGAGGTTTAAGTGAGTGGGCAGCCTGAGGCTTGTCATCAGGAAATATGAAGAACATGGCATTTCACTAGCATATGTCATGGGCAGCACTACTATATTTAGTCTAAACGGCATAAAGCATGTTAAATATGTTGTACACAGAATACATGTCATGCACCAGTACTAGCCATTAACCCATTAACTCTTTTTTATTTTTTTTATTTTTGAGACAGGGTCTCCCTGTAGCCTGGAACTCACTATGTAGACCAGGCTGGCATTGAACTCACAGAGATCTGCCTGCCTCTGACTCCCAAGTGCTGGGATAAAAGGTGTGTGCTACTATGCCTAGCCCTAACTAGTCATTAACTTAAAAGTAACCACTGGACTACCCTGACTATTTCTTGCTATTTTATTTCTAGGATGGATCCATTGGCTCACTCATCTCCAAATCTAAAGCTGCTTTCACACCAAAGCAAAGATTTACAGAGAAGTGGAGGGGCCCTATGGTAAGAAAGAGCGAACCTCGCTGGGCATGTGGGGGACTCTAATTCCAGCACTGAGGAGCTGGAGAAGGAGGACTGTGAGTCTGAGCCCAGCTGAAACTATCTCAAAACCAAAAGTGCATGTACACACACACACACACACACACACACACACACACCACACACCCCCTACAAAAAGTATCTTTTAGGCTGAACCCGGTCCCCTGAATTCTGAAAGTGAGGACTGGTACTCCATTACCACTGGCCCGCCTAGTGTACTCTGTAGTGCTAATCTGGAGAGACCAACCACTTATACTTCACTCAGAGTCTCACTATGTAGGTTTGGCTATCCTAGAACTGGCTACATAGACCAGGCTGGCCTGGAACTTACAGAAATCTGCCTGCGTCTTGCTTCCTGAGTGCTGAGATTAAAGGCATGAGCCACCACACAGCTAAAATAGGTTCTGACAGGGCAGTAAAAGGGCAGAACTACACCAAATGTCAATCAGTAAAACATGATATTACACACATGCTGACCTCAGAGTTGAACCCGAGGGTTTGGAATGGGCCCGCCCCTGCTCCAAGAATAAAAGCTCCAGGCAGTTTGATCTTTCTTGAAATCTCATTCAGATCGTAAACCTACAGAGAAGAAAATACTGATATTGTACATGCCACTTTCCTGATGTTTTTCCCTCTTTGGTCTGTTTGAGACAGGGTCTCCCTGTAGCCCCAGCTGGCCTGGAACTCACTATGTAGACCAGGCTGGCCTCGAACTCACAGAGATCCACCTGCCTCTGCCTCCCAAGTGCTGTGACTATAGGTGTGTGCCACCACTGCTGGCTCCTGATTTACTTTTAACAGCGCGAAAGCTTCCTCGATTGCCACACTGATCAACAGTCCTCTAGTGACAAACAGGAATCACCCCGTTTCTGCAGTCTGCGTGAATGGAAGAGTAAAAGCACACTTACTTTTGTTCTGTTTACAAGAGGCATTAAGTAAGGCACACCTCCTACTTCTGCAATTCTGGTTTTCCCACAGATGCCTATAAAGAAAACACAAGCCATCTTAAAAGCAGGCAAACATCATTTAAGTGTGAAATTTCAGAAGATGCTAATTTATTGAGAACATATGTAAGAGTAGAACATATGTAGAGTTTTAGAACTTGCAGAGATGGGATGGTGGATGCAGCCGGTGCTCCTGACCTGTTCTGTTGTTTCATGTTGTGTTTTGAGACAGGGTCTCTCTGTAGCCCCAGCTGGCCTAGAACTCACTATATAGCCCAGGCTGGCCTCAATCTCACAGGGGTCCACCTACCTCTGCCTCCTTAGTGCTGGATTAAAGGTGTACAGCATCATACCCAGTGTCCTGTTTTAATCAAGTCCTTGACATCGCCACCTAGTGCAGCTTACCATGGCTGGTGGCACCAGGCCACTGCAGGCTACTGGGCAGGTGAGGGCTAGAGCTGTACCCTTCTACTAACATCCTCAGTAATTACTAGAACACAGCTAGGTACAATTTGGGAGAAGGCACTTATTTTTTTTTAATATTTTATTTATTGTGCTCGCTTCGGCAGCACATATACTAAAATTGGAACGATACAGAGAAGATTAGCATGACCCGTGCACAAGGATGACACGCAAATTCGTGAAGTGTTCCATATTTTTAAAAAAATTATTTTTATTTTGTGTATGAGTGTATTGCCTGCATGTAGGTGCACCCATGTCATGCAATATCTGCTGAAATCAGAAGAGGGCGTCGGATCCCCTGGAACTGGAGTATGGACGGTTGTTAGCCACCTTGTGGGTGCTGAGAATCAAACTCAGGTCCTGTGCTCTTAGCTGCTGAGCCATCTCTCCAGCCCTGAGAAGGCACTTTTTAAAGCAGAGTGGGAATAATTATTTCTTGGTTGAGAAAAAGTCTTGCCAGTGTTATGTCAGCACATTACACAGCAGAGTACATGGACCTGCTCTGTGTCTTTTGCTACACAGAGGGCAGAAATCTTACAGGCGCCATTGGAGTTTGGAGATTAAGAAAGTTTTCCATGGAAAGAGCAGATGATCCACAGACAAGAGCTGCACTAGGTGATGGACATGATGACGTGAGGATGCAGCAGGGCACAGTGGGAGGAGGTCAGACTTCTGAAACAGCCCTAGGAGCACGTGAGGCCAACTGGGGTTGACAGAGTTCACTTCGCCTCTCTCAGGCTTCAGTTCTCCGAGCAACAAGTTGAGCTCAGGCTTGCTTTGCAAGGTTGCCATAGAATCAACACATCTAATCCAAATGTCTGTCACACTGAGAGTATTTTACTCAGCCAATATTCATTTCCTTGAAGGATTATCAGTATTTATGTATGTATGTATGAATTTATTTAATTTTTGGTCTTTTTTAGTCAGGGTCTCCCTGTAGCCCCAGCTGGCTTGGAACTCACAAAGATCCGTCTGTCTCTGCCTTCTGAGTGCTGGGCCTAAAGGCATGTGCCACCACATCTGGCAATTGGGTTATCAGTATTTAATAGAAGAATCAAACATAAGCCTTAAAAAAAAAAAGATTTATGAGGGCCAGAGAGATGGCTCAGTGGCTAAGAACACTGGCTGCTCTTGCAGAGGACCTGAGTTTGGTTCCCAGCACCCACATGGCAGCTAACCATCTGTAACTCCAGTTCCAGGGGATCTGACGCCCTCTTCTGGTATCTGCAGGCACTTTATGACATGGGTGCACTTACATACATGCAGGCAAAACACTCATACATATAAAATAAAAATTATTTTAGAAGATTTTTAATGGTGTGTATATGTGTGTGTCTGTGTGTGAGTGTGTGTGTGTGTGTCTGTGTGTCTCTGTATCTGTGAGTATGTACATGTGAGTGCAGATGCCTACAGAGGTCAGAAGAGGGTACTGGATTCCCTGGAACTGGAGTTCCAGGCTGACGTGGGTGTTAGGAACTGAACTCATGTCCTTTCATGAACAGAAAGTTCTCTTCCCGCATAGCCATCTCTCTAGCCCCTATTTACAAGCCTTTTAAGATTGTTTCTGATCTTGAATAAATACATAAAACCAAAAATTAAAGAAAGTTTCCATAAATCACTTGGGAAATTAAAAGCAAAACTCTTGTAATATCAAGAATTAGCCTGCCAGAGACCCACAAGATGGTAAAGGCCCCTGCCACCAAACCAGATGATCTGAGCTTGATTCCTAGACCCCACATGGTAGAAGGAGAGAACCAACTCTACAAAGTTGTCCTCTGACCTCCACACACACCGTGCAATGTGCATACATATATACAGACAGACACAAAATAAGTTAATGTAAAAAAAATGAATTAGGCTACTGAGTATCTGTATAACCAAAACCCCAGGGCTTGAGAAGTATCTCAAATACCATCTTTTCACACAAGGTGTAAAAGGAAATCTGACCAATGTAAGAAAATAGTGAGCTAAAAATGAAGCAGGACTGAGCCTAAAATCTGTAATGGAAGCCTCTATTTCCAGGTGAAATAATACCGGCTTCCGAAACAGATTATGACTGAAAACCAAACACATATTTAGATAACCGCATACCTTTTACAGGAAAGGCAAATGGTTCCTTAGTCAGATCAGGGCAGTCAACCACGGAGACCTGGGCAGCAGCAAAGTTCTCCTTTAGCCCCTTCTGCAAAACTAGCAAAGACCCGGAAAAGGGTTATTTACCTTAGGTGAAAGTCTGGCCACCACATAATAAATTCCTTCCAATTTTCTTTGCTGCGTTCACAACCTAAAGTCATAAAAAAGGGGACTGGAACCCAGGACCCCAGTGGGCTAGGCACATGTTCTACCACTAAGCTATACTGCTAATTAAGAAATGGTCTTACTGATGAATATATTGGACTTTGACACAACAGAAGCTATAATGGATGCTAAGAGTAAATGCCCATAGTTACTGCCCACTGCAGAGAAAGACTGCACAGGGTGAGGGCTAGCTTCCCTTGCTGGGGGTGGGGGCTGGTTCAAAGGCCTTCTGAAAGGATCATAAGCCCCAGCCCCAGCGAGGGCTACCGAGAAAATGCTCAGCCAAAGCTGCAGAGCAGAGACTGCACGGCTCCACTCTAAGTGTGTCAGACACAGGTAGTGCTCCGGACGGCAGTCTTACAGCTGTATACACGTGTGTTACTGAAAACTGTGTATTTGAGATGGTGTGTCTTCCTGTGGGTGTGCTGTGTCACGACACAAACACAGAAACACGCAGGTGTCCCAAAGCTACAGAGAGCCACCAGCCTCTGCCTCCAGAGTGCTGGGATTAAAGGCGTGCGCCACGACGCCCAACATGTCCACAGTATTTAACTCTGCATCATGCAGCTCTGCTCAGTATGAAGCTGGCAAGAGCCTAGACATGTTCACGACAATGCCTGCTTCCAGAGTACAGAGGGGCCACCAGTCCTGGGGGTGGGAACAGAAAGGACTTTGGGTTTATCTACACTCATCTTTTTGTTGTAATTAAATATTCATACCTGCCGGTGTGGTGGCACAGGCCTTTAATCTCAGCACTTGGGAGGCAGAGGCAGGCAGATATGTGTGAGTTGGAGGCCAGCCTAGTCTATATAGTGAGTTCCAGGCCAGCCAGGGCTACATAGTTGAGACCCTGTGTCACACACACAAAACAAATCCCACACCTGCATGTCCATATGTAGAAAGTACTGATTTTTTTATATTATGTGCAGTTTTCAGAGATGATAAAGATTTTGAAATAAAACAATTTCCATTTTGTTAAGATCAAGATAAAATAAATGTAAATGTCTATACCATTGTAAAAAAAAATCATAAATGATGAGCTTATTTTTTATGGAACAGAATTTTGCACTTTTTCAATAAAAACAAAACAGATACTGATATGGAAAATACTGTATCAGAAGTACCACTTTAGCCAGGCATGGTGGCACAGACTTTTAATCCCAGCCCTTGGGAGGCAAAGGCTGGTGGATCTCTGTGAGATCGAGGCCAGCCTGGTCTACATGGTGAGTTCCAGGCCAGCTGTCTCAAAAAGACAAACCTCCCCCAGACAAACACAAACAAAAAGTATCATTTCCATAAGCTATAGACATAAGTAATTAATAAAATCTTAGTGTTCCTGTAATCTGTTTCTTTGGATAGTCTTAGAAAACCCACAGTAACGTGTTACCTTCAGCAAGCTCCTCTAGACTTGGCACATGAAGAGAAAACTCAGCACAGGCCATCTCCTCTTCAGCAGCAAGGCCACGCACACAGCAGCTGCTGGCTAATTAACCAAGTTCACAAGGTACTGGGAGCAGTCGCTGTTCTGGAAATGAATGCTGGAGTTCAGTTATGTGAGGAGGGCCAAGGGCACTTTGGCTTCTGTACCCGAGTTCACTTATGTAAAGGGAGCAAAGTGCCCAGCAATTTCACTCACAGAAAAGCAACTGCAGCTTCCAGCACGTCATGGTGCAAGTGAGCAGTCAGCAAGAGACCTCTGCCTGCCTTCCTCTCCTCCCTCTCCCCCCGCCCCGCCCCCGGCAGTGCTGGACATAGAACCCAGGGCCTCATGCATGCTGAGTGCTATGCCCTGTTCAACACTGTTATTTTAACCTTTCAAACCAACTGCTAGGTAGCCAACAAACCGAGAAGCTGCATGTTATGTCCACCTGTGCTGGCCTATCTTGAATTTGTTCTTTTCTCCTCCCTTTCATGTTTTTTCTTGCAGTGCTGGGGGTTGGGCCAAGGCTTCGCGTTAGGAAAGCACTCTCCCCTGAGCTATGTACTCAGCCTGAACTGCACTCTTTTTTTTTTTTTTTGAGACAGGGTCTTTCTGTATGGCCCTGGTTGGCTTGGAACTTGCTGTGTAGATCAGGATGGTCTCCAACTCATAGAAATCTACCTGCCTATGCTTCCCCAAAGTGTTGGGATTAAAGGTGTACATCACCATGCCCAGCCTACCTGCACTCTTCTAATAGATGGTCTAAGAATATGGTCTTGAAACACAAGGTACATACTGGGATTACAAATAAGTGGTTATAGATAACAGTCTGTGCCTATACTGTTAAACACATAAAACATACGATATATGATATATAGCAACACATACACAGGCGTTAATAGATCATTTGTGTTTCCTACTCTAGATCTGACATTTAAGCTAAAAATTAAGTTTTTAGACTATCATTTAAAAAATTTCTTTCTTTTGGTCTTTTTGAGACAAGGTCTCCCTGTAGCCCCAGGCTGGCCTTGAACTCACAGAGATCTGCCTGCCTTTTCCTCCCAAGTGCTGGGACTACAGGTGTGCACCACCAAGCCCCGCAGTATCATTTAAATTAAAAAAAAAAATTCTTACATTTAGTGTGTGTGTGCATCTGACACAGCACACATGTGAAGATCAGAAGTCAGCTTGGCCTCCTGCCAGGTGGGTCCCAGGAGTTGAACTCAGGTCATCAGTTGGTGGCAAGCACCTTTACTCGCTTAAGCCATCTCAATGGCTTCGTTATTATTATTATTATTATTTAAATATAGAACAAATATTATTTTTTAAAATATTTTATTTATTATTTTTATGTATTTGCGTGTATTGCCTGCATGTAGGTAAGTGCACCCGTGTCATGCAATGCCCACAGAGGTCAGAAGAGGCTGTCGGATCCCCTGGAATTGGAGTTACAGACTGTTAGCTGCCATGTGGGTGCTGGGATTCGAACCTGGGTCTTCTGCAAGAACAGCCAGTGTTCTTAATTGCTGAGCATTCTCTCCAGCCCCAGAACAAATATTATTTTAAAAGTAGATGTCAGAACAAATGAAATGCCCCAAATTGGTCATTCTACTAAAGAAGGGGGGGCGGGAGTTTAATTATCATACTATAAGATATGCTGCTAACTCTCATTTGTCTACATTGGAGTCGTTCCTTTTATCTATCATTTTTATGAAAGAAAATTTTAGTTACTAATTGAGATGGAAACCTATGGAATGATTAAGTTCTGAAAATCAAAGTTTTATCTTAATTTACAAATAAACATACTTTTATGGTAAGCAGTTTTAGTGTTCAGCTAATCTGATAGTGTAACCAATTATAAATTATATTTCAAAAACATGGAAAGTCTGCTTTACAGAAAATGGATAGGCATATGCAGAAATGAACACTTAACTTCCCGGGTTCAGGTGATGAGCTGCACAAGCACAGACTGAGAAAAAAGGAATGTGAGAAGAAAGGGAGGTGTTGGGTGGGCGTGGGGTGGTGTCTCGCTCCAGGTCAATCACACCATGGGACAGTCAGAACTGGCCAGCTTCTCAGAGCACAGCTGGCGTCCTCTAAGCACTGTTAATGGAACATCTCATTAATCTGAATAGTTTTAAACATTTAAACATGCTAACCCAGCAAGTGAAAGGTGAGACAGTGTCTCTGTGTGGACCCTGCTGGGCTGGAACTCTGCTATGTAGGCCAGACTGGCCTCAATCTCACAGAGATCCACCTGCCACCACCTGACTATTAGTTCTATTTTTTGTCTTTTTGAACCAGGGTCTCCTTGTAGTCCCTAGAGCTCACTATGTAGATCAAGCTGGCCTTGATCTCAGTGATCTACCTGCCTCTGCCTCCCAAATTCTGGGATTAAAGGCATGCACCACCTTGCCCAGCAGTATTTCTATTTTTTTTTAATTTTTCTTACATTTTAAAAAAACTATGTATGCACGCACCTGTGCAAGTGTGTGTGTGTGCCACACAGCTCATGTGTGGACATCAAAGGATAATTTGAGGGAGTCAGTATGTGGGTCCTGGGGACCAAACTCAGGTAATCAGACTTGGGGGCAAGTGCCTATACTTGGTGAGCTATCTTACTGTCTGGGATTTCTACTTTTAACTTTTTATTTTTTTGGTCTTTTTGTGACAAGCTCTCCCTGAAGCCTCAGCTGGCCTGGAACTCACTATGTAAGATCAGGCTGGCCTGTGCTCACAAAGATCCTCCTGCCTCTGCCTTCCAAGCACGGGATTAAAGGAGTGTGCTACCATGCCCAGCTGGGGTTTCTCTTTTTGACAATACTTCCTAAACACATATCCTCCAGGAACATGTTATTGTGTACATTTAGCATCTGACATTTTCGTTCTTTGAAAAAAGCCACGGGCCTTCCCCACATTGTCCAAGCCAGCCAGGACTGCCTGGGCACACACCCTCCTCCTGCTTCAGGAGGGGACAGGTGGCACTCACGTTAGTCCTTCATCGCAGATCTCATTGTAGTCATTTAACACTTGACAAGCTGCTTGGTCTCTTAAATAAGATATAAATAACTGAAGATGGACTGTTGCTATAACGACATTTCAATGAACTTAAATGTATTTTTCAATTGAATAATCCATAATTGTTTAGAAGGCATCTTGATTTTACTTGAAGTAATCTCAGATATACACCTGTATGCATGTATGTATGTACACAGACAGGTCTCACATATTCTTATCGGGATCTCCCTGGTGTCACCGGTTCATAACATTCTTTACTAGGCAACCAGGAAATACCTCCTTTTTTATGAACGATTCAGAATTTTGCACAATGAAGAGTCTATTCATTTATTATTGCTTTTTTGGTCTGTTGTTTTGTTTTGTTGAGACAGGACTCACCATGTGGTCCAGGAACTTGAAATCCTTTGGCTTTAACCTCCTAGGTGTGGGGAACCACTTGTTTACTAGCACATCTGGCCTCTGTACATTCAGTACACACTATGGAAAATTAAAGCACTTTTGACAATCATACTTTAGCAGAAACAAGAACTCAAGTTAGAGTCAAATACCTTCCGTTCTAGTGTGTTTCTCCATTGCTGTGACAAAACACTCTGACCAATACCAACTTGGGGAGGAAAGGATTTATTCAGCTTACATCTCCCAGATCACAGTTCATCAGGGAGCCCAAGGTAGGAACTCAGGGCAGGAACCTGGAGGCAGGAGCTGAAGCACAGGCCATGGAGGAACGCTGCTTACTGGCTGCTCCCCTGGCCCCTGCTCAGCCTGTTTTCAATACAGAACAACCTGCCCAGGGGTGGCATCATCCACAGTGGGCTGGGCCCTCTCATATCACTCAGTAATCAAGAAGATGCCCCAGACACAGCCACAGGCCAGTCTAATGGAGCCCCAGTTGAGGCTTCCTCAACCCAGGCGTGTACACTGAAGCTATCCAGCACACTTCCCAATTGTTATAACTCTGTTTTTAAAAGAAGGTCAGTCTGTTTGTCTGTTTGATTTCCTTACCAAAATAGAAACAAAGTCTGACCATGGCAGCTTCAGCATGAATAACTGGTTTAGAACTCAGATGTTCAGGCAGGCCTGCAGTGTAGATAGTATTACTATGCCTGCGCCCAGGACCTAGAGGAAGGTGGGGCCGGAGTTGAAATAGCAAGGGAATGGTTTCCATGTATAGTCAGTGACTTCAGAACAGTCTTGAGTCAAATAAAGCCAAATAATATTTACTTTCCTGATTTAATTGGTGGGTGTAAGGCCCAGAAATGGGTTCTAAAGAAGGGAAGAACAGGGACAGGTGGCATTTGGGTAAGAGCTGCCTAGACACAGGGAAAGGGATAGGCTGACAATGGCAACCTACCAGATACATCAGAAACTCTGCTACATGGTGGGGGTATGGTGACACATGCCTTTAGTCCTAGCACTCAGGAGGCAGAGACTAGTAGTTATCTGTGACACCGAGGCCAGCTGGTCTACAATGCAGTTCCAGGCCAGTTAGAGCTATGTGGTAAGACAGAGTCTCAAAATAACCAAACCAACCAACCAACCAACCAGACAGAAAAATGCACGTCTGAGACAGACAGTATTATCCTCATTTCACAGGAGAGGAAATAGGCTGGAGTGAACACAGAATTTACCCCAGATCACTGCTAAGTGGCAGAAACAGAATTCAAAAGCACTCAGAGCCAGAGCTATTATTCCACCCCGCACCTTCAGCTGTGAAGAAGCCACTAAAGTGAGATCAGAGGGATCCTACGGCAGTCTACCGTGATCATGTCTAGCTAGCTTCTTCCTACTAGACTGGATTCTTTTTATTTTATATGCATGGGTGTTTTGTCTGAATGTTAAGTGCACCCCTGCTTGAAATGCCTTGGAGGCCAGAAAAAGGCAGAACATGCCCTGGAACTGGAGTTAAGGGCTTGTCAGCTGACAGGTCGGTGTTGCAGTCAGTGCTCCTGAGCCATCTCTGCAGCCCTGGACTGGACTTCTAATGCCTTCCAAGTATATGGCACACAATAGATGCTAATTTTAGCTTCATCTATTTATGAAACATGGCATATGAGACTGGTAAGGCACAGTCACACAGGATTAGCTTATTCATGTATCTGCATATATCACACTGCACACTCACATTGTCTTTTTTTTTTTTTTGGTGGTGTCTGGGGCTGAACTCAGGGCGTGGCATATCAGGCAAGTGCTATACCACCAAGCTACAGCACCAGGCCAATAACTTCATATTTGAACTTTGTTCAACTGAGGTCACAGGGTAGTGGAGCACGAGCAGGACCAAGGTGGCCCTCACCACATGGTGCCACCCCACTGACAGGTGCCGGTAATGCCCCATTAGACTCCTGGGGCATTACGATGTGGAAGTTCACGAAGACGATGCTGCTGTATTCCACAGAATGTTGGCAAAAGGCATGTTTGTATAAGCTATGAAATACGAACTGAAATTTCAGCGATACTGCAAAGTTAAATGTTCTTGCTATATTTGAAACTGACTATACACAATATAAGTAAACATAATAAAATTTGTGCTTTTCCTTTACTTAGAAAACTTCGGATTCTGGGACCGGCTCTTGCGGGACCTTTGGGGGCACGCCTCCTCCTGTGTGCACCGGGACCTTCACACTGCTCACTGTGCACGGGCCTTCCACACTGCACGCTGCGCCGGTCCTTGCGGTGGGAGGGTGGGCTTGGGTGCAGCAGCACACGCGACCACAAGACGGCATTGACTAGGAGCTAGGGACAGGCAGGGGCGGATCACGCATGATGTACGAGGTTGAACACGGAAAATAATCAACTTGAGGGAAAACCCGACCCACACCAAACTGGTTCACAGCGCGCCCTCCCGGTTCAGGTCAGAGACCCGCGCCGTCCGGGAGCTGAGCTCGGGCGTCGGGACCGGGTGCAGCTTCCCGGGCTCCCCCTTCCACTGACTCCCCAAGACCTCACCGTCTGACGCGGGGAGACGCGACACCGCGCTTTGCGGAGCCGGAAACAAATCTGCCTCCGGGATGTCCAGCGTCCGTGACGCGCCCTGACCCCGGAAAGTCTTCACACGCGCCGGCACGTCAGCACTCCGCTCGCGCAGAGCTCCCGGGCCCAGGCCGGCTGTCAGTGCCCGTCCCCCACCGCCCCGCCCCGTCCCGTCCGACGCCCCGCCCCTCGGCCTCGTCCCCGCCCCGTCGGACGCCCCGCCCCTCGGCCTCGTCCCCGCCCCTCGGCCTCGTCCCCGCCCCTCGGCCTCGTCCCCGCCCGCCGCTAGGTGCTCACGCGAGATTTAGGTCCCGTCATAGGCCGGCCGCCGCGTGGGCCCGACCTTTTTGTGGCGGTGGAGGCGCAGGCGGCCGGTCGCGGGTCCCGTCAGGCCCGGCGTGTTCATGGAGCCTGTGGCGGCCGGAGGAGGCCGGGAGCCGCCAGCGGAGTCCGCCCGCCCGAGGCGGGGTCGGTAGGTGCGCTTAGAGCAGGGGTGTCTGATGTGGCACTGAAAACGCACTGCCTGTGGTGGAGACCTCGAAGCCCAACGTGAACCTGAGGTTTGCAGCCCGGGGCACAGCGGGCTCCTGTCCAGTGGACCGGTGTCCACACCCGCTGCGGCCGTGTGGCGCTTTCCGTTAACAGCAGCCGTCGGGAGGGTCACGATTTCTGGAGGCTGCATGAGGTGGAGCGAGGGATGGATCGGTCCCAGCTGGACGCGCCCGGCTGCCCGGCACCCGACGGAGCCGGGGAAAGTGGAAGCCAGAGGTGAGCTGTGGGCCCCGGCACGTTGGCTCCAGGTGTAGACTGGACGCCCGCCCACACGTGCTCCCGCCTCTGCTTGCGGAGAACGGGGTTAGCGGTGCGCTCGGCCAGGACGGTCAGCTCAGTCCTGGGATTAAGAAAAGCGGAGATCACTGCTGGGGTTGTCAATAAAGAGAACTTCATCGAGTTTCCGTGCACGTCCCATAGTAGATCTTAAATTCCGAATCCGTACTCCCCCCGCGCTCCCCTACCGAGTTTCATGCATTCTGTCGTATATATGTTAAGGCCTTTCCAATCGAGCGTTTGTACCCAGATGTCCTTAGAGGTGAAACGGCATTCTTCTGGAAGATTTTATTATGCTGAATACGCACGTGTCTGCATAGACACGAGCGCGTGGGTACCCACGGATGCCAGAAGAGGACATCAGATCCCCTGGGGCTGCAGTTAGAGGCAGACATGGATCCCCGGAGTCAAGACTCTGGATTCTTTGGAAGAGCATCAAGTGCTCTTTAATCGCTAAGCCATCTCTCCATCGCAGGACCACATTCTTACCTTAGAGAACCCACATTTTTGGGGGGATTTTGTCTAGTATGGAAAGCTCTAGTACTTTATGCGAAAATTTATGGTGGTTCTGTTTTCTCTTGAAAGATAAAATGGCACTTTTTAACAACTTGTGTGTTCATTTTAGGTATGGTAGCCAGGAGACAGTAGCTAGCTGGTACTGAGCCCATCTTTATTTTTTTATATTTTATTTCTAGGTATCGAGTTGGTTTTGGAAGGAATGTAATTTTGGGGGTCGGTCATGACACCTCAGGCTGGCAGGCTACTGAGTGACCTTAAACTCTCCTGATCTCCTACCTCCACTGCTATAGGGATCATTTCTAATAATAATTGTGTAATCCCATTTTTTTTTTCTAGTGATGACACATCTGGTAGCAGCTTATTTAAAACACAGTGTGCTCCTTCACCTAAACAAAGGCCGAGAGCCATCACTGCAGAATTGAACTCACCTGCAAGCCCTGAAACTGATTCATCAAGTGACTCATCTCTAGAACCAAGAGCTTTGACCTTAAAGGCTATTTTTGAAAGATTTAAGAAAAAGAAACGTAAAAAAGGTAAAAAGAGAAAATACAAGCCAAAACTCAGACCAAGGGGAAGACCAGAGGGAAGGAAAAACAGTAGACGATCACAGATAGATAAGAAACAAATAAAAGAAAAAGGACCTGTGTTTCCATTTTCACAGTCTGAAAATGGAGGAGAGCCACTGCCGTGGAGGAAAATTTTAACCTATGAGGTGAGCCAACATTTTACGTCTTTAAACACATACAGGCGTTCAGAAGTGACTGAGGCACAACAGGGTAGTTCTGACAACTTCCATACAGATCTCTCACCTTCAGTTCAGACCACTAGGGGTTCTGAGTGGAATCTTCACTGGAGTATTTTTTTTTTTCCCCAGTGGATATACAGAAAGATCCATCTGACTCCACCACGCCTATGTGCTTTAATTCTGTGACAAATACAGATGGTCTTCAAATGTTTGAGCGTTAAATGTTAAATGAATGCTTAGTTGCTATATTGAGTCTGTAATCTAGGATTAAGACTTTACTCTTGGGCGTGCACATGCAAACCAGACCTTGGTGAGGGAAGTCTTCCTTCACTGCCTCAGTGATTTGGGCAGTCTTGGTCTAGGGATCCAGCTCCCTAGCGGCCAAGGACAGAATTATAGTCCAGCCACATCACATCTGCATTGGCTCTGGGTCCACTCCTGCTTTCTAGCTTCCACAGCAAGCCCTTAACTGCAGAGCTATCATCTCTCAGCCTTAGCTTGATGATGTCATGTTTGGTCCAGAAATGCAAATGGGCTGCATGGAGGTTTGGTTTTGTTTTTTTTTTATTTGAGATGGCGTCTCCCTGTGGCCCCAGCCAGCTGGAATTTACTGTAGACTGACATTTTCTTTTCAGCATTAAAATCACACTTTTAACGGTCCAGTCCCTGTAGAGCCTCTTACTCTGAGATTAGCACACACTGAACAGAAAAAGGCTTTATTAGGAAGCAGTGGAAACAGGCTACATCAAAATTTAAGTGTAAGCTTAAAGAGGTGGTTTTGAGAGATGTCACTATAGCTCTGTATGGCTTGGAATTGATAGAAATCTGCCTGCTGAGTGCCAAAATTAAAGGCATAATGATAAGGAATAAATTGTTTTTTAACTTGAAGCAAGCTGTTGCAAGAGGATTTTTCAACCACATTGAAAAACTGAAGTATGAGCACCACCTTAAGGAGTCCTTGAAACAGATGGATGCTGGTGAAGATCTAGAAAAAGAGGACCTTGACAGTCGCAGATACAAGTATTTGGATGATGATGGTTCCATTTCTCCTATTGAAGATCCATTGTAAGTTGGACCTTGTAAAATAAACTGGTCATGTTTTGTTCATCTGCTATAAATGTCTTACCGTCAGTGTTTTAAGTGCTTTGATGGTAATCATGAATTTGGGGCCACTTAGGATAATTTATGTTTCAGCAGAGCTGCACATAGGGAGAGCATCCACTTGGTATTAAGCGGGAGACTGATTTTGCCTTGACTCTTGGTTTCAGTTGTGTTAGAATGTAAGATATTCACAGTACGACACATTTCATGTTTCAGAACAGAAGATGAAGTGACACATCCAGAACCTGATGGCTGTGACATCACATTGGTAGTAAGTGGCTTATTTTTATGCTCTTGGAAGAAAGGAGCTCTATTTAAACTTTGAAGTTATGTTTAATGCAGGAAATACAGAACTAAACTGTTTTAAATACTTGAAACTGTAGCTATAACCTTTTTTGGTCACCTCCAGTGCTAGAGTTCAAAGTCCAGGATCTAGTGCATACATGTATGAAAAGGCACCCTACCATTAAGCTATAGCCTCAGCCTTAAATTTGTGTGTCTAGTGTGTACGCATGCCCCTATGCCACTGCACCGATGTGTGGAGGGCAGAAGTCATTGTAGGATCTCCAACTTTCAGCGAAAAGGGATTGGCATGACTGGCTGGCCTGCAACCTTTAACTTTTTTGAGACAGGGTCTTACTATAGTCCTAGGTGGCTTGGAACTTAGATAGCCCAGACTGTCCTCAAACTCAGGGCTTTGCATGTGCCTCCCACCCCAAGCTCAGCTAACTTTTGAGATGGGGTCTCCCTATAGCCTCAGGTGGCCTTGAACTCAGAGATCCACCTGCCTCTGCCTCCTGAGTGCTGGGACTAAAGGCATGCACCACCATGCCTGGCCCAAGCTCAGCTAACTTAATGGGGCGTGGGAGAGTCCTTTTTCTGAGTGAGATAGGGTTTGCCTGTAGCCCACCCCAGTTGACCCTGAACTTGCTATGTAGACTAGGTGGCCTTGGTCTCACAAAGACTGACTGCCTCCCGAGCACTGGGATTAAAAGGTGTTAACCATCACTCGGGCCCCTTAAAAATTCTTCAGTGAACATTTCAATTGATAACAGTTTTCGGGCTTAGGATAAAAAATGAGAAAATGTAATACAGATGCTGGTATGGACTTGGAGATTCAGCCACGGGTAGCTGTTGAGTTTAGTTCCTAATTGCAATTTGTTTTTAATGCAGGATGATAGCTGTTTTATCATAAGTTCAGAATTCCCAAAAAAGGCGAAGAATACTAAAGTCACACTGTCTAAAGAGAGAACTTCTAAGGCAGAAAACACTAGGCAAACGGTCAGAAATGCCTGAAGAGATGAACATGGAATGCCAAAGGATGCAAAGACTACCAGAGAACGTGACCTCCCAGGAAGAAAACTAGATGTGGAATATACAGGCTCAAACCAGGAGCCACCACAGAGACTGACACAGCTCCCTCAACAAATCAAGGGAAAGAGCCGGCTTCAGCCCATGCATTCCCAGGGAGGCGGTGGCCAGCCTGGTCTACATAGTGAGTTCCAGGCCAGCTGGGGCTACAGGGAAAGCCTGCTTCCTAATAAAGTCTTTTCAGTGTGTACTAATTTCAGAGTAAGAGACTCTACAGGGTACTGGGTCGTTGACATTTAATCCTAAAAAGAAATGTCAGGGATAAAAAGAAAAGCTGGCTCTATCTATCCCAAGGCGGCCTCAGCCAACTACCTCAGCAATAGGCTGGGATTATGGGCACATGTATCAGGCCTGTCCCAAAACAAGTTTAAGATGCCTGAAAATCCTGTATCCTAATGTTGAGCTCTAATGTTAATAAGAACCTAAGCTTCCCCTTTGATTAGGGATAGATATATATATCCAGGGAAATGGTGGGAAACCCCTGAGGTTTGTTTCCCTTACACACCTGAGATACTTATAGAATACTGCAACTTCTTTGTTGAGATAGGGGCTCACTATGTAGACCAGGCTGGTCTCAGCTCAGAGATCTGTTTGCCCCTGCCTCCAAGTATTGGAATTAAAATGCATGTGTAACATGCCCAGCCCTGCAACTATTTACTGTGGTCACAGTTGTAAAGCTGGCTCTTCTGTGTTTTAACTGTTTGGTAGCACTTTGTGTGCATGTTTTTGTTCAACTGGTGGACAAAGGCAGGAAAGACGAAGTGCAAAAATAAATCCTCTTTTGCAACCCAGGACTCATTGTTCAGTGTGAGTCTTGATACATACGAGCAGGAACATGACAGGACACTCAGTGACAGTGTTGAGATTGGTTCTGAGGATAGTTCACGAAGCATAGGTTGCTAACGTATAGGAGCAGCATTACTGATTTTGAGTGATAGATCAATGTTCCTTTTTTTAAGGCGTGTCTTATGAGGCCTGGAGTTGAAGATTCTGCTTACTGTGAATGGATGTGTTTCAATGCAGTGAGTACATTGTCTTCATGAATCTAAATCTTCATGGCTTTCATTTTACAGGGCTGAAGCAGATGACTAAGGTTTTTTTTCTTTAAAAAAAAAAAAAAAAAGCCGGGCGTGGTGGCGCACGCCTTTAATCCCAGCACTTGGGAGGCAGGCGGATTTCTGTGAATTCAAGGCCAGCCTGGTCTACATAGTGAGTTCCAGGACAGCTGGGACTACAGGGAGTCCCTGTCTCAAAAAGACCAACAGAAAAAAAAAAAGAAAAAGGATTTCCCTCATATTTTCCAATTGTACTTATTTCCAAAATGCCAGTCTTAGATTAATAAAAGTGTAAAAACTGGCATATCACTATAAAAGCTTTTAATGTATAAAACTATTAATCTATTAAAACCTAATCTTTATAGGTTTTCCGTAAAAGAGTAAGAGGGTTCTGGCCTAAGTGAATCTAGGGTAGTGACCAGAACTCCATTTCCCTGTTTAAGCACACATTATTTGGAGTCAATTTCAACCAAGATGATTTAGCCAGTATAATGTAAGAATAGTGAAGGCTATTAAGATTTCATAAATCCCCAAATCAGAATTTTTTTAAGTCTTATGTAATGATTACTAAAACAGCTTAGTAAAGAATCTTTGCCTTGTAATTAAAGTATTTGGGTGCAGTGCTCCAAGCAAGGATCTAAGCAGAGACTCACTTAGGCCAGGCAAATGTTTTGTAATACTGCAGTTCCTGAAATGATCTGTCATTTATGGTTAAGCTGTTCACAGGTGTTCTTGCATTAGTTGGCTGGAACACAGTGCAGTTCTTAAACCATTTCTTTTTGTGGGGCTTTGCTGGGCTGCATGCACACTGAGGTCTATCCCGATGGGGCTTTTCCAGTAGCCACACATCGTTGGAAACGCCTCATACAGTAACACTTGTGGTTTGCTTGATGCACAGGACTGTTTAGACCCGTGGGAAGGAACTACAAGACAGTTAACAAACTGTGAGACTAATTCTTGGCTTTTGGCCTTAGGTATTGGCATATCCTGGAGACCATAGTATTCCGAGTGTGATGGCTTAGGTGAGTTTTAATTGGTGGCAATGTAATCTGGGGAACACAGTTCAGATGATGAATTGAACTGTTCAACTGCTGAATGATACAGATATGAACTAAAAGTTAATTCTGAGAGAACTGATGACAGCTATTCTGGACAGTAAATTTAAACTGCAATTTTGATAACCGTCTCTTTGTGTACTGTCTCTAGGAATGAGTATGAGTCGAACTCATTTTTAAGATGGGTAAGTGAAATTTCCATTAATTCATCAAGGACCTGAAGTTTAAAGATGATATATTCCTAAGTATAGCATCCTGTAATCCCAGCAGTTGGGAGACAGGCAGGAAGATCAGAACTTTGAGGCTAGCCTGGTTTCTGGTGTGTACATGAAGAGTAGATAATGATCAGGACTGTATAGCTAAAATAAATGACAGCTGGAGATAGGGAGACTGTGCTAGTAGACGCACAGTATAGAAACAAGTTGACATGCACTGCATGGTATCTGCACTCAGCAGCTTCCTCCTGCTGGTGTGTTCAAAGAACAGTGCAATAGAAATTCACTATCTGGCATCGTTGGTTTTCTTGGCTTTAGTGCCTATTAAACCTGGTATTTCTATTGATACAGTTGTGTATTTTTAAAATTTTATACTAATTACATTTATTGTGGGAGGATGTGGAGGGGTTGCTCCTGTGGAGGTCAGAGTGCAACTTAAAAAGTTCTCCTTGCATGTTGATCCCAGGAACCAAGCACAGGTCTTCAGGCTTGATCTGCTGAGTAGCCTTCCTCACCGTAATGGTCTTCATCCAGAGTACCATCTGTTCTCTAGGTGTCAGCAATTGAGAAGCAGATGAATCCTAAAGTGGTAAGGCTTTCTTTTCCTATTGTTTATCGCTAATTTTACAGGAGAACTTCCATAGCCTCATTCTACGTGAGAATGGGCACTGTTTGTCAGTGTCCAGAATTGGTCAATGTGGCTAAATTGAGACAGGTTCTGCTTCCATCACAGTAAGTGCATTGCAGTGGTGACAATGAGACCTGTAACATTTTGCTGAAGTGATGACGTGGTGTTCACTTTAATATTTGCCAAAATGTCAAGTACTTTGTGTGACCCTTCTAGGTTCCTACAGTAAATGGCTTCAAGAAATTAGATGTCACAGATCTCAGGTAAGATGTTCAATGTCAGTATACACGACTTGTGTTGTGTGTAAGCTACAGCATTGCAGTTAGATGAGGAAAGATGGGGTTTCACTGCCCAGCACTGAGACACGACCAGTGACATACGATGTTGTGATGATGGGCAAAATGTTCAACTGCTCTGAATGGGCTGAATGAGACTGGCCTTTCTGAACATCCACATTGGCTTTGTCTTTGATCATGCATGTCAGAGGGATTCTATAAATGCAGACTGGAGTAAACAAATCATTTTAGGATTTGGGTGTTTGTGGGATGGGCGGTCCACCTGTGGGATGCCTTAAGCCATCTTTAACCATTAGGTTTACATGTTTGAACAAGACAGTCTTGCTCTGTAGCCTCATCCTCCTGAGTGGTGAGGTTGCAATGTGCATGTGCCTCACGTTGAATTTGTTTAATCCTTTACATTTTTCCACAGGTGGAGAACTTTGACATTATCACAAATATGTCTTTCACATAAACTGTGGGAAGTAAGTCTTTTAAAAATGTAAATCACAGCCAGGCATGGTGGTGAGGCAGGTGGACCTCTGTGAGTTCAAGGCCAGCCTGGTCTACATAGCGAGTTCCAGGACAGCTGGGGCTACAGGGAGACCCTGTCTCAAAAAGACAAAAAGCTTACAATGGTCATTACCAAGGCTTTAAGAATGCAGTTTCTCATTTGCTGTGGACATGACCATAAAACATACTCCCACCAGGTATTCTGTGTGCTACTTTGCTAGCAGTCAACCTGCTGGGAACATCTTATCAGTGAGGATTTCAGAACCATGCTGCATGCTTTGGGGCATGGATCTATTGTATGGCTCAGTTGCTAATAAGGCACATTACATGAAGGGGGAGGTGTGAGGTTGAGTGCTGTAGCTGACTACGATGCTGTTCTTGTTCTTCTCAGGGCTGAAAGCACAACTGGATTAATACCCCTTTCTCTGAGAAAGGTATGCACATGAAGAAAGATATGTAGGTCATTTCAAAGAGGGCTTGTTGGGCTGTAAACCCAAAGCTCTTAACGCTGTGACCAAAGATTGAGGCTCTCCACAGAATGCCAGAGGCACTTCCTAGTGCTGTGTTCTGAGGAGATACAAGTAGACTCAGTATTGTTGATCCTGGGAAATGCTGCGTTTCAAGAGTTTATGATTTATGGCCTTCTCTCTTCAGGATTATCTGGATTGTCTTGAGCTTCTGCAGCTTTGATGGACAGTGAAGGGAAATCGTGAAATATCTCTTAAATAAAGATTTATTCACTTTATAATTATCAGTTGCTTAATTTCACACACAAAAAACCCATTTACACAGTTAGCATGTATTTTTGGCTCGAAGCTTCTCTAGTGTTTTCTGTGGAGGGAATGAAAGAAGTTTAGCTGCTTGAGTCCGTGCCTTTGGGTGAGTGAGAAGCTAGGTGGGGCTGCTCACCTTGTGAAATTCTTTTGCCCTTGCTCTGCTGTGGGCACAAGCTTCTTGCTTAGCTTTCTCCTCCCTTTGCTGCTTCAGTTCAGCTGACTGACTGTGTAATCTGTAAGAAATGTGCACCTAAGCATGTCAAACACTCTGGCGAATTGCTACACTTAAGTAAGAAAAAGGTCTCTCTCTACCTTAGAGCTTGCTGGTGCCCCAGAGCTTGGGCAGACCTCCTTTCTTCAGGCAGAGATACTCTAACTGTATTCACACCCCTCAGGTGACTGGATGAACCTGAGAGCCAAACAGACTTGTGCACCTACATTCTGTTAGCACAGCCAGCTCCCCCTCCCCCAAGTACTTCATAAAGGCAGCAAACCTGACATTCCTGTCTCCTTGGCTGTTTTGGTTTGAGGGAGTCGAGCTTTATTCTGTATCTCTCTCAGTCTCTGGTAGGATCGTTCTATAAATGACTTTTTTCTTTTTACAAATGCTTCTTGTAAACTACTTGGTGTGGCTGTAAATTTTAGAAACTGGAATGTTCCTGCTTCATTTCATATTACAGGTCTGCAGTTTTTTTCCTGCCAGGTGTTAGAAGGGACCTCACTCCAGCCCCTTTGGATACTAGAGACTCACCTGTAGGTGCCATCACTGTGCAATGTCCCATAAAAAGCTCTGGCTCCACTGGATAATCGGAGGTTTCTGTTTCTGCCTAATCGTAAGAAAGTCAAGGTTGAGTATTAAATCATCTAGGCTGGGATTACATGCAGTTGAGCCTTTATTTCTGCTTAGCCAGGCTTTGCATGACAGTGTATGTCCTTTGGCGTCTGTTTTGCCACACCCTTGTATGGATCTACTATCCTTGTAGGAATACTACTACTACATTTAAGAGAACTTGGGTTCTATGTTCTCAGATTTGGATCCCCTCAGGTATCCTCTCAAGTTTCTGTTTAGGGCTTTTCTACTCAAACTCTCCCGGTAAATATAGCTAGCACATAAAAAGTCATGGAAACCAGTTCTAGTGCAAAAGATGGCAAAGTGAAGGTTCATCCATTTTAGAATGTCCACATAAGCCACTTACTGCACAGTGAGACCTTATGTGGAGGGATAGTTTACCTGGAAACAGCCGTTTGCTTCATTCTCTCCCTCTTCTAGGGTTAAATTTGCAAAATCTGTTTCAGCAGCACTGATGTCACTGATGCTTACTAAAGTCAGCTCTGGTTCTTCCATTATCCCATAGCCAGATTCTGTTTCCTGTGCAGCACAATAAAACAGCCGTAAGACACCGTCCACTCCAGCAAGTATCAGTAGGGCCTTTAGGGTAGGTGAGGTGAGAGATTGTGCGGGGTGGGTGCTGGGAACCGAACCTGGGTCCTCTGCAAAGGAGCCAATGTTCTTAACCAATGAGCCATCACTCTGGATCCTTTGTTTTTGTGAGGCACTCTCTGACTTGCATTTATTTACCAGTTCAACTAGGTCTCTAGCGTGGGTTTATGAGTCCATGCCTCACTCGATAATCCAGCCCTCCGGCTCCTTTGCTTTCAATCTCTAGGAAGGATGAGCTGCTCATGTTAGGAGGGAAAACTACGTAGCGTTTGATGCTTGGTCCAGCACAGGCTGAGCCCAGCTTCACTTCTCAGGGAAGCTGGAAAAAGTGGCTTAAGAGGGATCTCAGAAGAAAGTTACCCAAAGTCTCCTTTGTTTCTTCTGAGCAGGAATTTAAGGATTGTTACATAACACAGATCCCACTTACCCAGACTGGAATAGAGCTCTGTAATGGGAATGATGGAGAACACTCAACAGGATCTGGTTGTGTTAGTTGAGAGGGGCTTCTTGTGGCTCTTGGCGTCTCCATTTTAATTGACTGTGGTGGCTGAAGTGAAGTTTCCATGGTCACTGCTGGAACACATAACTGAGGTAAAATGCTACAGGCTGTATTATCACCTTCAGTGAGTCTTTGGCTTTGCAGCATTGTAACTGCTTTTCTGGATAGCTCTTCAAAGACCAGCCTTTCTTCTCGGTTTTCTAATTGTTTCACTGAACACTCACTGGAGATAGAATCTTGTGGAGTGCTAGGCTGGACATGCAACTGATCATCAGATGAACTGCAGACTGAACTTAAGGAAGCCTGGAAGTGGACACTCTTTCTCTTATTTTGTAACATTTCAGAAGGAAAGTTCTGCTCTTCCACACCTTGGCAAGTGCCTCTTGCCTCAATGCTATAAATACTTGGTAGATCAGCATGCTGGCTCTCCTGGGAAGAAAATTCTGGTAGAAGCTGTTGAAAAGCTTGTTCAGATCCTGCATTTAAAAAAAGGAAATAATAAACCTTGATACAGTCATTTTAAGTGAATTACAAATAAAGTGGAAGTCAGGCCCTACAATATTAGGAATAAAAGTTGATATGCCCACTTCCTTACTGTAGTCCCAGCTGGCCTTGAACTCACAGAAATCCACCTGCCTCAGCTGGTTTTTAAAAAAAAAACACCACATTTTCTTTCTCAAGACTGTAGTTACAATTATTAGACACTAAAAACTTTCCCCATTAAAATGCTGAATAACAAAAATATTTAGTGTGAAATGTGTACATGTATGTGTATATACACAAGTTCTAGAAGGTAGTAACAAAAGGTATATGAAGTTCAGTATGGTACAAATGCAAGCCAAGGATATGTTACTTTTGTTACTGAAATGAATTTCTCTTCACACTGAGGGCCAGAAAGGGGACCAATCAAGAGCTATGGAATATTCCCCCAAATGGACGTAAAGAATCATAAAGGAGGCTGGAGAGACGGCACACTGGTTAGGAGCACTGGCTGCTTTACGGAGGACCCAGGTTCAATTCCCAGCACCCACATGTCAGCTAGCCATCCTTAAATCCAATTCCAGGGAAATCTGACAGCCTTTCTGACCTGGGGATCGTATGACATGGGTGCACTTAAAATACATAAAGGCAGTACATTCATAACACACAAAAAAATTAACCCTCCTCCAAGAATCCTGAAGTCTTGAAGTTTAGTTTTTTCTAAGCCAGTCATACATACCCTCTGCATTTTCTGTGACAAAACTCTGATCTGCCGCATTAGCCAGGTTAATGTCAGGGTCCTGGTCTGGCTTTGTGTTAAGAGGATTTAAGTGGGTTCTCAGTGGAGTAAAAGAAACTGTGCTTGCAGATGATGTGTTAGCATGCTGCTTTTCAGAAGAATCTGAGCTGTGCTGAAAGATAAAAGGCCATGCAGTAATGATGTTCTTACTGATAAATCCAAATCTTCATTGCTGTCAATATAAAAAATCCCCCCCACCCGGGCCGACCACATGAATGCTGGAGAATAAACCCAGGGCTTTATGTTCTGCCTGGCTTAAATTGCCCAACCATTGGAAAGACTTAAAACAACGGAACAAAAACCAAGTAGTTTTAAAACATAATATTCTGACAAGAAGGAACTACATAGAACACACAGAATGTCAGGCTGCAGAGCGGTGAGATAACTAGGTATGTAAAGAGAACCCAAATTTGATCTCCAAAACTCACGTGGAGGAACAAGAGACCAGAGTTCCCAGAACTACACTCTGATCTCCACATAGATGCCATTGCTGGCACATGTGTGTACAAAGACACACAAGAGAGTACTAGCTGCTCTTGGGTTCAGTTTCCAGCAACTATATGGCAGCTAACAACCATCTGTATGTAACTCCAGTTCCAGGGGAACCTGATGCTCTCTTCTAACTTCTGAGGGCAATGCACAACACAGATGCACTTAGATACATGCAAGCAATCCACTCATTCACATAAGTAAATAATACTTAAAATGTCAAACAGCTAACAGAAGGGTTCTCAGCCCTTTCATGGCATCACACAAGCTACGAGATGAGGCCTACTGTTTGAGGTAAGGCCTGAGCTCAGTTCCCAGCACCCATGTCAGGCAGCTCACAACTACCTGTAACCTCAGCTCTGGGGGACCTAACGCCCTCTTCTGGCCTCTGAAGGTACTGCATTCACATGCACATTTCCAAACAGATACATAAAAAAATACTAAAATAGTAGTTTTAGAAAGTCAGTAACCTAGATTCTCAATGGATTAATATTAATATTTTTTAAAATTTAATTTTTAATTTTATGTGTGTTCCCTGCATGTATGTAAGTATACCCATGCACGCAATGCCTGTGGATGCAGAGGACAGCATTGGATCCCTGGAACTGGACTTAACGATTGTTAGCCACCCTATGGGTGCTGGGCACTGAACCAGTGCTCTTTACCACCAAGCCATCTCTCTAGTCCCGAATTGATTAAACAGTCAGATATACCAAACTGATACAAATGACCATCCCTGCTCCTCCTGAGCCTTTGTCTTCCCCACAAGTCCTTTTCCATTCATCTTTCCTCTGTGTGTGACCCACTGAACTTGATTCAGGCTGCCTGCATAAGCACAGGTGGAAGGTCATTTAGTACAATGGGTAACAAGCAGTGGCTACTCCACTAAAAGAAGGGACATCACTTCTCCACGACTATCAGGCTGTCAGGCTTCCTTTTCAACAGAAGTTAAAAAGCTAGGCTGGGAATGGTGGTGCACACCTGTAATCACAGCACATGGACACGAGGCACCCTTAGCCACATACTGAGTTCAAGCTTGGACCACAAGAAACTGTCTCAGCAGTTAGGAACACTGACTGCTCTTGCAGAGGCCCTAGGTTCAGCTCCCAGAACCCACATGGTGGCGACAAACATTCCTGGCTCCAGTTCCAGGGGCTCCAACGTTGTCTTCTGGCCTCCACAGCAACTGCATGCATGTGGAGCACTTATATCCAGGCAGGCAAAACACACACACCCATGAAAATACCTTTATGAGATTAAAAGAAAAGAACAAAACATCTATCCTTCAACACTCACTGCAATGAATGGCAGTGTACCTGGTAAGAGTCCCTGTTGTCTTGAGATAACCCAAAGGGTGATGACAGATCAAAATCTACATGTGGTTCCAAGGGTTTGAAGAGCTGATGATGCAAGTGTGGAAACACGTGTTCCAATTCCGGAAAATCAAGGTCATCTGCTGGAATTTTGAGGAGAAAGAGATACATTTAATTTTTAAAATTATAGTAAAGCCTGGAGAATAAGTACTGAGCACATGCTCATTAAATGTCGGTAATGTTTCCTGCCAGGCCATGGTGGCGCATGCCTTTAATCCCAGCGCTCAGGAGGCAGAGCCAGGTGGATCTCTGAGATCAAGGCCAGCCTGGTCTACTTAGCTAATTCCACATTAGCTGGGATTATTGTTTTTTTTTTTTTCCTTAAAAAACGAAAAACAAAACCCCACAAGCTTTAACGTTGCTAATGCAACAAAATCAATTCCAGTTTCTTCCCCGTATCACCAGATGCTTTAAAAAAAAGTCCAATCAGGATTATTCTCAAGGTGTGAGAAAACAGGAATCTTCTAGTAATGGAAATTTTTGACAAATGCACATTCCCAGCCTCCCAGCTCTGAAGGCTTCTGAGGTTAATCAGGTGGCAGCCACATGAACTGCTTTTCTACAAGCTTTGCTGCTCTTTCTTAGCTCACTTCAGGATCAATGATTCAAAACAAGAGAAAGGCCACCTCCAGGGACACAATGGGCTGCATCTGCACCGCCTCAACCTCTACGCCTTTCTGTTACAGAAGATGAGAGAGGCGAGTTAACTTGTCTGTGTCCCACAGGTAGGACACGACTTAATGCCTCAAATCCTAGTCTGCCTGCCTTGAGCTCTACCTTGCCTCAGTTATAATAAAGGTAGAGAGATGTGCTATGTGCTAGTGAACCTCTTTAGCCTCTCTGAGCTTTTTTAAAAAATTTACATTTATGTATGTATGTACATATTTAATGTATGTGCGGGCATGCATATACATGCTCCGCAGCACAGCTGTGGAGGTCAGAGGACAAGCTGCAGGAGTCAGTGCTCTCCTTCCACCACACAGGTCCCAGGGACTGAACTCTGGTAGCTCACCAGGTTGCCAGGAAGAACCTTTAATCAAGCCATCTTGCTGGTCTGTTTCTGTTGTTCGGTTACTCACACGCTCCCAGATGCCTTGCCCTGTAAATGCCTTCAATATTATCTGTAGAATAGCTGCTGCACAGCCCATAAAGATACAAAATTCGACCAATAAAAAGGATGCAAGGTGAAAAGATAGAGATGGCTCACCGGTTAAGAGCACTGTCTGCTCTTGGAGAGGACCCAGGTTTGATTCCCAGCATCCACCTGGCAGCTAACAATTGTCCATAACTCCAGTTCCAGAATTCAACACCCTTTTCTGACCTCTATGGGCATTGCATGACACGGGTGCACTTACATACATGCAGATAATATACATAAAATAAAAATAATCTAAAAAATAATTTAAAAAAATTTACTCTGCAAGTCTCTCTTTTCAGGAATCACTTGTGCCTCATTTATGTCCGCACCTGTGATCTGCTCAAAGTGTGCGTGGTCAGATGCACTCCTGTCCCCTGCAGGTAACAGAGACCCATGAGCATCTAAGGACTTCTGCTGCGGAGGAGCAACCTGTGGTGCTGGGACCACAGAACTTGAAGGGTCTGCTTCCTCCTGCTTGCTGGTGGTAGATTCTCGTTCTTGATGGTCCAGCTGTTCTGAAGACGACTCTGAAATCAAGTTTAATGAGAAATGTAGCTGCCGTCTGCAGCACTGATTTAACGCCTGGGCACTTTGGCAGAGACTTATTTCAATGCGCATTGCTGAGATTGGTACAAACGGGAAATCTGTTCATAGAGACTTCTGGGAAACGGGAACACGCATCATTAGTGAATATTTCTCATAATGTTGCCAGAAGTCTATAGAGCGCCTCTGTGACTGTCATTTTTACAGTACCGTATGTACAACATTCTGTTCAACACTCATGTTTTCCTTTGCAGACTTACTGAAACTGCTCCCCAACCCCAAACATACTGTAAAAAGCAATGCTTCCCCTCCAGCACAGCCCAGTTCAGCTGCTGCTCATCTGTCAATTTCTTTACAAAGTTTGACGGTACCTGGATCCGTAAGGCTCACATCTGTGTTTTCATAACTTAAAAAGCTCCCAGTGGAAACAGTTATTGAAGATAATGGCTCCTGAGACATCTCTTGTATTTCAGCCTAGAAACGGGAAATATGAGACCATGATGTATCCAGATGAAATGTAGAAAAACCCCAAACATCAACCATAGCAGCTGTCAATTCTGAGCTCAGGTCAAGTGTAGAAACCTTCATAGAGACAAAGTTCAGTGATAGTCTTTTCATCATTGCTCAGAACTGATTAGCTTTACGCATGCACTGACGCGTGCGCACACGCAGACACACACACACACACACACACACACACACACACACACACACACCTCTCCCCCACCCCCATGTTGCAGTCACTTTGTAGTTTTGCTTCTCAGAACTGTGGAGATCATGCATCCTACAGACCCAAAGGTCTTCTGATGCTCAGATTTGGCTATTTTCATCACTGATCCACTTCAAGCAGATCTCAGAGAAACTTTAACTTTTCAGCAAACGACATGGAATGTGAAACCAAACAGCTAAAAAACTTAGGCTGCACAGTACTGTCACTCACCTTATCACCTGGCTTCGTAACTGTTCCCAGGCACGCACACACATCTTCATCCGAAGCAGCATGGCTCAACACCTCATGGTCCTCAATGCTGGGTTCCTTGACCTTAACTGAAACATGGATTTGGGGTTCAAAATGGGAGTGGGGGAATTAGGACTATCTTAGTACCAGAAGGTCTGATTCCTACAGATCATTTTTATGCTTCTAAAAGTTTCCCTACCTTAGAGACTAAAGAAAAAAATCACTTAATTTTCATTCACTCACTAAGCAGCGCTCACCACTAAAAATATAGCTGTGACTGTTATTCCATGAATGAACCCTTTTAAAATAGCTGAATATTAGTTATAAAGATGGAAAAGAGTCACAGTGATAGGAAATATGTCAGTTATTTTATATGGAGAAGCAAGAATATCAAACCAAGTGTAATCTCAAATAAGAGAACAATGCCCATAAAACAAAGCGTGACCAGCGGCTGCTAGTTAGATGAGAAGAGTTTTAACTTCTTGTGTGCAAGAAGGGCTTCAGACCCCCAGGCAAGTAATCTTGTCTTGGCTTCATGGACTACAGGTGTGTACCACCAAGTCTGGCTTTGAGTCAGTTTTTAAAATTTGGCTTTTGGGATTCAAACCCAAGGCCTCATAATACTAAACAAGTACTCTATCACTGAGATACACCCAGCTCCAATGTTTATCATTCCATCACAAGCATATACTGATGAATTAGCATTTCCTAATTCACTTCATATATTATAATGTATAAAAATCACACTTTATACCTAATACTGATACCTAGGTATTGAGAGAGAGAGAGAGAGAGCTGGTGGAGAAGTCATCTGTGCTTGAGCAAATACAAAAAAAGCATGTGCCTCATCAACACTATGATGGCATTAAAGAGCTCATTTACATTAAAGGTGTATTTCTAAATCCATGTCTAAAAATTTTAACGGAGCCAGGTGTGGTGGCACACGCCTTTAAGTCCCAGCACTCAGGAGGCAGAGGCAGATCCCTGTGAGTTCAAGGCCAGTCTGCTCTACATAGTGAGTTCGAGGCTAGCTGGGGCAACAGGGAGACCCTATATCAAAAAGACAAAAAACAAGCAAACAAAACAGCTTTTTAATGGAACCTCAACACACAAAAATGTGTACATATCCATAGTTATCTGAATGCCTCTGTGCATGAATATATATAGATATAGTCACTCATTTCTCTTATGTAATAAACATGGTCAATTAAACCAGAAGGAAAGCTAGCAGCAAGTGTTATTTGTCTTTAAATACATGGCGATGAGGCTGGAGAGATTGCTCAGCAGTTAAGGGCACTGGCTCTTCTTGCAGAGGAGCAGGTTCAGTTCCCAGCACCCACATGGCAGCTAACAACCATCCATAACTCTAGTTCCAGGGGATCCGATGCCCTCCTCTGACTTCCTCGGGCATTGCACATCACAGGTGCATTTACTTACATGGAGGCAATACACTCATACACATAAAATAAAAATAATAAAAATAAATAAATACATAAATGAATGGTGAGGTTATGCCTGTGAACCTGAGAACCAAAGCAGGACTGGGAGTTTGAGGCCAGCCTGGACAACTTCTGAGACACTAACTGAAGACTTGGGAAGCTGTAGGTTCCATCTCTGGTACTGAAAATAAAGGTGAACAAAAAAAGTAACATAAAAGCAAATTACTAAACCGATTCAGCTGCTTCTACACACCCTCAATTAAAAACAGCTTTTTTTTTAAAAGATTGATTTTTATGTGTATGAGTATTTCGCCCCTGCATATATGTACACGTACCACAAGTGTGTCTGGGGTTCTTGGAGGCCAGGGGAGGGGTCTGATTCCCTGGACCGTGAGTTCCAGACTGTTGTGCAGCGCTATGTGGGTACTGGGAACTACATCCAAGTCCTCTGTAAGAGCAGAAGTGCTCTTAACTATGGAGCCACCTCTCCAGCCCCTATGTTTAGTTTTATTTTCCTTTATGATTATTGTGAGTGCAGTGGGGAGTATGGAGGTCAGAGGACAACTTTGGGAGTTGGTTCTCTCCTTCCACCATGGGATCTGAAAACTGAACACAGGTTGTCAGGTTTCCACATGGAGCACTTGTGCCTGCTGAGCCGTCTTGCCAGCCCCACTCTCATTTTTCCAGTATGAAAACAAGGAGGGTAAGATTTTACAGTGAGCTGATGTTTCCATCCATTTATTTATTTGTTTATTTATTTATTATTTATATTTACTCTATTTTATTTATTCGTATTTTTATTTATTATTTATATTTATTCTATTTTATTTATTTGTATTTTTATTTATTATTTATATTTATTCTATTTATTTATATTCATTCGTTCGTTCATTTGTTTGTTTGTTCTTTTTGAGACAGGGTCGCCCTGTTGCCCCAGCTGGCCTGGAACTCACTATGTAGACCAGGCTGGCCTTGAACTCACAAAGATCCTCCTGCCTCTGCCTCCTGAGTGCTAGGACTAAAGGTGTGTGCCAGCACGCCCAGCTCATTCATTTTTTAAAAACAATTATTTGTGGGGCTAGAGAGATGGTTCAGCAGTTAAGAACACTGGTTGTTCTTGCAGAAGGCCCAGGTTCGAATTCCAGCACCCATATGGCAGCTAACAACTGTCCGTAACTCTAGTTCCAAGGGATCCAATAGCCTCCTCTCTGTCTTCCGTGGGCATTGCATGACATGGGTGCATTTACCTAACATTGCAGATATAACACTCATACACATAAAATAAAAACAATAATAAATACAATATTAAAAACAAAACAACTGTGTATGTATGTGTGCTCAAACACATGCTGAGGCACACATGGAGCCCAGAGGACAACTGCCAGTGTGGCTGTCTCCTTCCACCAGGGGTCCTGGAGATCATATGAACGTCATCAAGAGTTTTCACTCTGAGTCACCTCACTGGCCTCAGTTTACTTTAAAACCTTAAGAATTACAGTGGACTGGAAGTTATACCCTTCACAGTTGTTTCAAATACAATTTAAAAGGCAGATACTAAAGTCAATTCCTTTCCTATGAACCCTTCAAAAGAAAAGTCTCTTGTCTTTCTGGGTTAAGCTTTAGTTACAACTCCTATATCAATGACCTGAGTATGTATGATAGTTACAATAAAAAGAAATCTGGTTAGAAAGGATAACTATTTAAATATTTATTTTTTTAAATTTTATTTGTTATTTTTATTTTATGTGTATGCGTGTATTGCCTGCATGTAGGTAAGTGCACCCATGTTGTGCAATGCCCGCAGAGGTCAGAAGAGGCTGTCGGATCCCCTGGGACAAGAGTTACAGATAGCTGTTAGCTGCCACGTGGGTGCTGGGATTTGAACCCAGGTCTTCTGCAAGAACCACCAGTGTTTTTAACTGCTGAGCCATCTCTCCAGCCCAGAAAGAGTAACTATTTAAGAAGCATGTTACAACTAATTGTTACTAGAACTATGCATTATAGCACATTATATACCTATGCATTATAGGTCAATAAACAATTTTACAACTGCATATCTATACACAACCATAAATTCAAAAGCAAAAAAATTAACATTGGTTGCCACTGAGTGGAAGAATTGATTTAAAGTTCTTTACTATTATATTTATTTTCTAAAGAAACAAGTAACATAAAGCAATTGTTTTAGAATGCCACAGGAGTTTAAGAGTATTCACCAGCACCATGTTTACAGTACCGTTATAGCCCCCAAGTAAGACCTCTTATTTCCCACTCCTACTCATTTTAAAAATAAAATGATTTTCTCAATAAATTTCACTTCTGTCATTCAACTTTTTTTGTATGAAAATATTATTTCTTTTTCAAAAATCTAATACGTGAGCATGGAGGTACAAAGGCAAATCTACAAAAGATCACTGACCTGTATCACCTCACATCACTTGCAATGGACAAACACAGAATTCTTTCCTCCTATTATGCTTTGACTTCTTTTTAAGGAGGTACGAGGATCAAACTCAGGACCTTGCACTTGTTAAGCACTAGTCCCGAGTCTCCCTACTCACGATTTGTTAATGAGTGCACAGATCAGCAGAGCATGCACACACCACAGTGATCTTGTAAAGAGTGGACTCTCCCTCTGGGTGGACACATACGTGCCTTTGGCATCTCCCTTAAGGGTTAATCCAGGGGGGTCTTCTCTTGTATGCTGGCCAGAGCCCAAGTATGCTTTTAAACTTCCCAACAGATACTTTGGGCTTCCTTACTTTTTCTAAAGTGACCCTCCCCAAAGTGTGGCTACTTCTCCCATGTGGCTCACCTCCACACAGCCATACCTCAAGCAGAATGGTTTTCATCCCTTCCAGGCAGCCGTGAGATTTACAGCTTGCTCGCCCTGGGATTTTCCTTTTGAACTAATACATTGTCCTCAAGCTTCCATTTAGGGCCATTCTTAAATTCTTTCATTAACTAAGAACTCCAAGAGGGGACCCCAATTTCCCAAGTATTGTATGATGGCTCTGCTGGGAATATTCAAGATTTCTGGTATCATTTCTTCACTGCCTTTTAATTTTCTAATTGGCAGAGAAAACAAACCCGTTTCTGCACCCCTGGCATCAATCTATTACCAAGGTCACCAAGGATACCTACCACTGCTGTACATAACCTAGGCACCACCCATGTCCACATGTCCTGTGCACAGCTCCAAATCTGATCTCCCCTCACCTGCTTCATCAAAGTCATGATGCTCCAGTAGTAGTCTGGTGTTCTCCTGGGATGGTGGGTGGCGACAATCAGAGGAATCTCGAGCCAGTGGGCTCCCCAGGAAACTTTGTTCTCGGCTTACTGAGACCCTCAAGGGGTCTCTGTCATGATAGAAATCTCGTTTACCTGGGTAGGGGAAAGACCTGAGACATTAAATTTCCAGTTGTAAAACTAAAATTACAATCTAGATAGGTAAAACTCTGAACTCGTAAAGGCTTGATCTATGTGGCAAGAGCGTAGTCAGTGCTTCTTGCTTGGTCAGCCTTGGCCCTGCACCTCAGTCACACTGCTCTACTGCACTGACCACCCAGACTCCTCCTGGAGGGCCCCTGATGAAAACACCGCACCTTTCCCATGAAGGTCAAGGGTACAGAAGGGCCCACCCATAGGCATCCTATCAGCCTTTCAGTAACTCAAATATGCATGGGTTTAGAGGAACGCTCCTACAATACATAATGGGAAGCTATGCACGTTCAAAGTGACTGTCATTCTGCAGTCAGGAAACAAAAGCAGAATGTTACAGAGGTGGCAACATGGGGTAACCACAGAAAAAGAATAACTTTCTGTTAACTGTAGTTTGACAAGCAAAACTGCAAACAAACAAACATTGGAATAAAGAATTAAGAAGGTTACCCAGAAAGCAGAAACAAAAGAAATGAACTACAGGGGAGATCAGATTTGGAAGACCACATGGATCAGTGTTTCCAACTTAGTTTAATTACCAACCTGTGTCCCCTCCACTGTCTACCCATATGAAATCTCAATGAAGCTTCACTTTGTGCATTCAAAAGTATCACAAGGGGGCTGGAGAGATGGCTCAGTGGTTAAGAACTTGGGTTGCTTGTCCAGAGGTCTCGAGTTCAGTGCCCAGTACCCACATCACGTAGCTCACAACTGCCTGGAATTCCAGCTTCAGAGGATCCGATGCCCTCTTCCAGACTGTGGGTGCTTGCCTTCATGTGGACACACGCATAGACAGACAGCATTTTAAGGTTTTTCCCTCTCCCTCAACCAGTTTTCACTTCCTCGGGAGAACTAACACTCGTTGTGAATTGACCTTGTTTAGCCGGATAGGCATCTGTAATCCTAGCACTTGGGAAGCTGAGGGAAGAGGAGTCCAAGTTCAAGGCCAGCTGGAAGTGTACTGTGAGTTCCAGGCCAGCATGAGCTACACTGCAAAGCTTCATCTCAAAGAACCAAAAGAATGACACCAGGAGCCACAGCGGCCATCCAAGGGAAAAGAACCAGGATGGACAGCATTTGGTGGGCCCGCCTAGAGAAGACTGACCGGAGGGAAAAGAATGACATTTGATCTCCCTTCTAGACGAGGCGGCATTTCTGTAATCTGATTTACTTTACAGGAACCAGTGATGAGGAATTTCCCACGATCATTCTGAATTAGGCAAACCGTTCAATTCCTCAGCAGGTAACTCCAAAGCCAGTGATAAAATCATGGCTCTGTTCCGCAGAACTCATTATGCTCTCTCTTCTCAGAACAGAAAGGCACTGACTCTCAGGATGACTCGGTTTCTACCTTCCTTGACTCTCTCAAGTCATGACCAAAGCATGACCAAAGCAGCTAATATTAACCTTTCACTTCTATGTAGCTTTCCATCAACAAAAAAGCTCATTTTCCCCTTAAACAGGATTTACTTTGGGCTGGATGTGGTGGCCTATGCCTTTAATTCCAGTATTATGGAGGCAGAGGCAGGAGGATCTCTGTGAGAGAGAGGCCAGCTTGGGGGAAAAAATTAATAAATTTGGTCAAAAACATTATTTGGTCACTCTGAAATCTAAAAATTATTAGGAAGCTCAAAGAAGATTTCAGGGAGGGATTCTCTAGGTACCTGGATCTAAGAAGGAGTGTGGTAAACAAACATGTCTATTCTAATACTGTTAAACCAGAATTAAGCATAATAATTACGCTATAAAAGATACAAATAAGATAAAGAAGCTAGTTACCCAATGCTACATTTAAGTCCAAATTTCATACACTCAAAAAAATTCTTTAATATTTTATTTATTATTTTCATTTTATATGTATGTGTGTATTGCCTGCATGTGCACCCATGTTATGCAATACCCACAGAGATCAGAAGAGGGCATTTGATCCCCTGGAACTGGAGTTATGGACAGTTGTTAGCTGCCACGTGGGTGCTGGGATTCGAATGCAGGTCTTCAGCAAGAACAACCAGTGTTCTCAACTGCTGAGCCATCTCTCCAGTCCCATACTCCAAAAGTTTTTTATTTTACTTATTAGAGAGAGCAGACAGACTGAGGCACGTGGTGCCATGCATGCATGTAGAGGTTAGAGGATAACTTCTGGGAATTCTTCTTTCCTTTCACTTCCCAGGATCAAACTCAAACTGCCACAGTGGAGCACGTGGGCAAGTGCTTTTCCTGCTGAACCATCTAGCTGGCCCCAAATTTTTAAATTCTTTCATGTAACTCAGTTTTTTTTGTGTGTGTGTTTTTGAGACAGGGTCTCCCTACAGCTCCAGCTGGCCTGGAACTTACTATGCAAACCAGGCTGGCCTCAACCTCACAGAGCTCTGCCTGCCTCTGCCTCCTGAGTGCTGGGACTAAAGGTGTGCACCACCACAACTGGCCAAAGACTGTTTCTTTGATAAACTATGGTACACTGAAAAAGTAGAAAACTAAAGCTATTAAGCCATCTCTCATTTTATCACACGATCTGTTACCTGGCGTAGACGCTCTGCCACTTGTGGATGAGTCCACTTCTTGTATAGTGCTAAGCTCATGTTGGTCGACGTCCAAACCACATTTAACTTTGGATATGGGCGGTTTTGAGGCTCTTCTACTCAGTTCTTGGTCCAGAGCCTCACCTGTCAGGTCAAGGACAGAGTTAAACACAATGAAAATCTCTAAACATACCCAGAGTGAGCTTCTCTTCAACTAGCCAGGTGCAGGGATGAGGCTAAGAGCTAATGAACAGAGTGACAACAGGGTACCATCTCACCCCAGTGCTCACCACTGACACCTGCGGAGAGCAGCTGGTCACCATCAGAGCTGTACTTCTCTGTGTGACTAATGCTTTCCCGATCGTCCCAGGTTAGATCCAGGATGTGAGGAAGCCACTCTCTGAGCTGCTCCATCTTCTGCATTTTCAAATCATTCTCAACTGTGGACTTCCTTGTCTGAGGAAGTAGACAGAGAGGGTGGGGATGGTGTGTGTTTAAGGGACCACAGGAACTCATGAGATCTGTATCTCACTTCTCAAGTTGGAACCTCAAGCAAATAAACAGCTCCATTACTCACACTATTATAGTTTTATCCACAGGTCAAGTCCCCATCCCCTCAAGAGCAACACTTTGTTGAAGACTCAACAAGGTTGACTAACTGAACATCTATGACTGCAGCAAGTTGGAACACTGGAGATCAGACCCAAATTCTCTTGGGCCATCTTCATCGCCTACCTGTACTGGACCTGACAGCATTCTACCAGGTCAAATTTCTGGAATACATTCTGAGCAGACCTCTAGCTTCTACCAACCCCAAAGCTAAGAACGTTTTCAACTCTGAAGCCTCTAGCAGCTTTCCCTGCTGTGCTGTATGCAATCCACCTCACTGATCTTCCCAACAATATACTGTCAGGAAAAGTGTCTTGATTTACTTTCTTTCACTCTGTGACTATAAAAGTTTCTGTTACTACTTCCACAGAACATGTCAACAACCTGAACGCATGTTCCCAGGCTATGGTCACTCATATTTGGTTCAGAGTAAACAATCTCTGTTCTGTGTCTGATAGTTTGAAAGTAAGAAGACATGCTTCTGACACTGAAGGGACGATATTCCCAATGAGAAGTGCAGCCACCTACAGACTTGCAACCAAGCCCTTGCTTCTTCTACACTCAAGACTAGGCTTGAGTGTTTCCTTCTGCGTTTTTCGAGAAGTGCAGCCACCTACAGACTTGCAACCAAGCCCTTGCTTCTTCTACACCTTTTAATGAGACTAGGCTTGAGTGTTTCCTTCTGCGTTTTTTCCTCCACTGCTTTTCCTTCAAATAGATGACTTAGCTTGTGGATTCAAGTGCCTCCCTGGGAGTGGCAGAATTCTGTATTAACCAAGAGATTTAAGAAGTAGTCTAAAATACAATGGACTCGTTCATATCCATGAGGATGCACTCGGCTGGTGTGGAGACAAGCGGCCCAAGCGGCCTCTAGCCTTCTCAACAACTCAGATACCAGTAGCTGGTCTGGCCCTCAGCTCCTGCCACCAGGCCAGCTGTACCATAATGTCACCAGAGGGAAAAGGACAGATTTCTGTTCATACACAAATGTCAACAGAGTGCTATTCACAGAGTGCAAGATCTGCCATGGCGTAAGAAAAATTCTATTAACCAGTTAGTTTTACAATTTCAATCCATGTTCGGCTGAGAACCCACTGTAACAAAAACTCCTAAATGAAAATCTATATTTTCTAATGGTGACTCTATTTAAAATTAGGTGGGTTCAAATAACCATTATCGGTCTCATAGAGACCAATGAAGTAGATAAATTTTTGTTTCATTTCCACGCTGTTAAGGGTAGAAAATAGAAGCAGTTAGGGTCAGATCACTCCCAACGACTAAAAAAAATGGAAGGCTTAAGAATAAATTCAATCAGGTTTAAACACCTACTGTTTAATGCTGACGTATTTAAAACATACCTGACTGTCATTAAAGAAATCCTTCAAAGTCTCTTGATGCTTCTGGACCTGCTGCTGCAGTGCTGTCTGCCTCTGTAGAAGCAAGTCTTCTTGGGCCTCTTGCCTAGACTGCAGAACTTCTCTCTGCAGATCCAACTGCTTCTGAAGACTCGAGTTGTCTTGCTGAGTTAAGGCAGTCTGGGGATAACACAAAAGCCTGTCTTGAAGCTTCGAAATCACAGAATCACTGGAGGGAGCTGCACGTTCATTTTTAGAGAGGGACAGTTCAGAGATGCGTTTAGATTTAGCCTCTGCAAAAGGTAAGGGGATGAAGGGACACCCCGTTTCTCTGGACACAAACGCAGGGAGAGCATGTACAGCAGATTCACTTTTGTACATGTTACTCTGTTTGTGTAAAAGCAGTTCTTTAGGAAACACGGTTTCTAAGTCCAATTGTGTGGTCAGGTTATCTTGCTGAGGTGGAAGAGGCTGTGAAAGGCTCAGAAGCTTGCCATGGGAGGTTGAGACCTCAGTATCATCAGACTTGGTTAAGGTGCCTTCAGAACTGGCAACAGGCAGTACAACCTGGGATGAAAATGAAGAGGAGCTAATCTCCTCAGAGGAGACTTCCTGGCCAGATCTAATGGCTTTCCTTTGCATATCTAACTGCTGCTGAAGTGCCTTCAAATCACCATGATGAGGCTGAATGAAATGCTCAGTAGACACCTCTTCCTCAAAGGAGCACGGTCTGGGCAACACTGGGTCTTCTGGGACTTTCTCAGCAGAAGGAAAGGAATTTGTCTGGGCATGTAAGTGTTTTATCCATGTCTGTGCATTACCCTGTTGAGGTAAAGCTGCATGTGAAAAACCTAGCACCCTTTCAGGCAAACTCAGCACTTCAGAGTGACTCGAGGGTACTGTATCAGCACTGTTAGCTGAACAAAGTTCTTGTGTTCTTTCAGATTCAGAAGGTAATGAGGGAAAAGAGTGCTGAGCCTGTAGGGGCAAAGACACACCAACCCACTGCGGGGAGAGTCTGTCCTTCCATCCCCGTTGTTCATGTAAAACTGTTTCTAAATGAGCTTCCTGTCTAGACTGGATGATGGCTTCTCTTTGTGTAGTTAATTTTTCTTGAAGGGCCTTCAAATTGTCTCGCTGCGGCTGGATAAGTTGTGATATCTTCAAAAGCCTATTCTGCAGTTCTGGGACCTGAAAATGCCTTGAAGTTACTTTACTGTCACTCTCCATTGAAAGTGGTTCCTGAGTTGTGCCAGAGTCGGAAGAAGGTAAGGACATAGGTGAACGCTGTGCTAATGAGGGTATAAATGAGGAAAAGCCAGTCTGAGATGAATTTTCCTGGGTTTGTGGACTAAACCGAACGGCATCTTTTTCTGTGTCTACCCATTTCCGGTGTTCTTGCATATCTTGTAGAGGGAGCATATGTTGTGAAAATCTAAGAAGCCTTTCCTGAGACCCTGAAGTCTTAAAATGGTTTAAGGGACACGTATTATCACTCTTGACTGTCACAAACCCCTGGAATCTCTCCCATTCAGTTGCCTGGGATGGAGGAGATGAGGTGACAACCTGTTGAGAAGAAAGTCCTTTTGCTAATTCACTTTGCTTATGGACCAATTCCTGAGTTTCTTGTCTAGCACCAAGTATTACCCCTTGTATGTCTGACTGTTTCTGGAGTGTTAAATTTTCTTGCCTTGGTCGGCTGTGCTGTGGAAAGTCAAGAGACTGATCCTGAAGTGTCGGGATGGTCAAATCAGCAGAGGGAACTATATCCTCCTCAGATGAATACAGTCGCTGAACTATCCTAGGCTCAGTCTCAATAACTGCTGGAGGACCATCTGAATGCTGAGCAACCACTGGTGGGAATGAAAAATTCATTGGCCCAGACTTACTGTCTCCCAAATTCCTTTGTCTATGTAAATGTAGCTCCATTTGGGCACCATGTCTAGCCTGAAACAGATCCCTCTGTGTAGTCAGTCGATCTTGTAACAACTTTAAACTATACCGTAGAGGTAGAAACTGCTGTAGGAAACTTGAAGGCCCATCCTCAGGTCTTGAGATTTCAGACTGGCTTGAGAGAAGCCCTTTCTCACTTGCAGGTAAAGGCTGTTCCTGGATTTCCCTAGACTGTTTGTCAGCAAATGGTAGTGAAGTAAAGGGATGCTGAGCCACCTGGTATGGCAAACAGGGCTCAGCCTGTTCAAAACGTGTACTTCGATCCAGCTCCCTCTGTCTATGTGCAAACAAGACTTCCTGGGCCTCCCGCCTGGCTTGAAGGCAATCCCTCTGAATACTCAACTGTTCTTGGAGAAATTCTAAACTGTTTTGCTGTGAGGAGACGGATTGTGAAAAGCCCCGAGGCCTGTCCACACTGCCTGAGGAAGCAGCAGCATCCCTCTTCCTTGAAGTCTCCTGGCTTCTCCCCGATTCGGCTCTGGCAGATGCCAGTGAAGCAGATGACCCTCCAGCCACTCCTAGGGGGAACACGGGGAAGCCAGCCTGCTTTTCCAGTTCTTTCTGAGCTCCCAGTCTTGCCTGAAGAACTTCCTTCTGTAGTTCTAACTGCTCTTGGAGAGTCTTTAAGGTGCCCCACTGGGCTCTGATAGTCTCTGCTGACACAGTCTGATCATGCCTTTGATTGATTACAGACTGGCTTATGGAAGCTGCACTTTTGCTTTTGGCTGGAAAGGGCTCCTGAACTTTCCCAGGTGCAGCTTTGACCGGGAGACTAGTAAAAGAGCACTCAGGCACCAGCGGGAGGAATGAAGGACTGTCAGCTGGCCTAAAAGACACATTTTCGGTATCCTCGGATGATACTTGCTGGGGATCCAATGTGTGAAATGCCGTTGCCCTTAACACTTCGGCTGCTTTCTGAGCACCCTGTAATGTCTGTGGTCTGTCATAAAACAAAGCTGTTGAAAGTGAATCCAAATCTCTAGGGACCAACGGAGTATCTCTCTCATGTGTCCCCACCTGAGACAACTGCTCTAGATGTTCCTGTGATTCCAAAGGCCCCTTGGCTAACACATCTGAAGTGCCTAGTGTTTCTACCTGTGGAAAATGATCCCGTCTTGGTACCTGAATGTGTCCTTGATCTAATATGGGGTTCTGCCTGGGTTGCACAGGTTGATGTCTGTTCATCTTAAGTCTCGGGGTCTGATCCCACTGCTCTGATACAGGAGTAGGTGTTCTTGATCTCTGTTGTGGTTCTGATATAACAGAATCAGGTATCGGTGATGTGGCCGACAGGGATGGGTATCTTTCTTTTAACGTAGTCTGGAACTCGAGTAATCGTTTTCTGGCAGTTTCAACAAACTGCTTGTGTAATCTACAAAAAAAATTACAAATTCTCAAATGTTTGCACATTAATCCCAGCAAACAGCAACCTAGGGTTGGCTGTGTCAGGGACAAGGACTAACACTTGCATATACCTTGGAGGAATCGCCTTGCCAAGTACCAAGGGAATCCCAACCAGATCCTCAAATAACCCCGAAGATGTAGCATACTGCCACACAAAAATCATACCCTAGTCAATACCTGTTTTGTTGTAAAAGCTGCTGTTGATAGTTACGAATCATCTGCCTGTGGCTGTCTTCATCAGAAATCACAGCACACAATGCTGGAGCAAGGCCAACCTAATAAGACAAATGAAGCAGTCATTTACCATTTCTACATAGCTATGGTTCTGTAATTACAAATTTCTATATAGCTTTAAAAAAAATAAAGACCCACAATTCCTTAAATAAAAAATGGTTACTGTTTCCCCCAGGGCCAAGTAAGTCCGAAAGCAACACACACATCACGTAACTAGCACAGCACAGAGAACGGAGGGCACCCTTGGGCAGATGTGGGCTCCAACACTACGACTGCTCATACCCTCTGGCCCCGATGGCTTAGGCCGGTTAGACCCCAACCTACCTCAGTCTGCTGAGTTTTCTTTCTTTTTTCTTCTTCCAGTTGAGCCCGGAAACAATCAGTTTCTAATCGTAATTTCTGTTGCTCAATTTGTTCAAGTAATTCCAGCTGCTTTTGCTTCTGCTCTTCTAGCTCCATCATCTAGGCAATAAAATACTATTGGTCTAATCAACAACAAACCCACACAAATTAGCATGCATTGCATTAAAAATACATTTGTGGCCGGGCATGGTGGCGCACGCCTTTAATCCCAGCACTCGGGAGAGGCAGGCGCATCTCTGTGAGTTCGAGGCCAGCCTGGTCTACATAGTGAGTTCTAGGACAGTTGGGGCTACAGGGAGACCCTGTCTCAAAAAGACCAAAATAAATAAATAAAAATAAAAATACATTTGTGCTGGACAGCTTTAGTGTCAATTTGACACACCTGGGTTGAGGGAGCCTCAGTTGGGGAATTGCCTCCATAAGACTGGCCTGTGGCCATGTCTGTGGGGCATCTTCTTGATTGTTGAGTGATGTGGGAGGGCCCAGCCTGCTATGGGAGGTGCTACCTCTGGGCAGGTGGGCCTGTGTTGTATAAAAGAGCAGGCTGAAGGGCTGGAGAGATAGCTCAGCAGTTAAGAGCACTGACTGCTCTTACAGAGGACCAGAGTTCCATGCCCAGGACCCACATGGAGGCTAACAACTGTCCGTAACTCCAGTTCCAGGGGATCTGATGCCTTCTTCTGACCTCCTTGGGCACTGCATGACACAGGTGCACTTACACAAATGCAGGCAAGGGGCTGGAGAGATGGCTCAGCAGTTGAGAGCACTGACTGCTCTTGCAGAGGACACGGGTTCAATTCCCAGCACCCACGTGGCAGCTATGAACCGTCCTTAACTCCAGTTCAAGGGGAATCCAAAGCCGACTTCTGACCTCCACGGCACCGCATAACACGGGTGCACTCACATACATGCAGGCAACACACTCGTACACAGAAAATAAAATATAAAAAAAGATAAAAAAACAAAAAACAAATGCAGGCAAAACACTAACATACATTAAAAAAAAAAAAAAAACCAAGCAGGTTAAGCATGGGCTGGGGAGCAAGCTGGTAAGCAGCGATCCTCCATGGCCTTCAGGAGGAGCAAAGCTCCTGCCTCCAGGTTCCTGCCCTGAATTCCCACCTTGGGCTCCCTGATGAACTGTGACCTGGGAGATGTAAGACAAAATAAACCCTTTCTTCCGCAGGTTGGATTGGTCAGTGTTTTGTCCCAGCAGTGGAGAAAAAAAGTAGGACAACATTTCCTCATCAAAAGGATCTATATATCCATGGACACGTGTTCTATCACTGGTTCTGCCGCAAGGAGGACAGAGAGATGTGAAAACAGAAAGTAGACAGCACAATCAGGGTCAAATCAACAGCACAAGCAAAGACAAAACGCCTTCCGTCAGCTGCATGTCTCGCAGGGCGAGCCAGACGCTGGGACACTACGTGAGTCAAGCAAACGACAGCCCCTAGACAAAGCCTGAAATATCGCTCACATTACCTGTTTGTGCCTTGCTGACATCCTAACTCTGACTGCTTCTTCCTGAGGATGAAGCAGAACTGAATTTGGAGCCACAGCTGTGACAGGTGGGGACGCAGTCGTTGCTACGAGGAACCCCCAAACAAAAGTTAGTTTCAGTGATTTAGAGAGATGACCCACCATAGTGCCCTTCTATTCATTTAGACACAGCATCACTAGGGAAAAGACAGGAGCCACATCAGTTTAATCTGAGGACGTGACAGAAATACCTTGCTCCTTTCCCAGGCCTGCTTGGCAAAAGAACGGCTTCTCGTCGCTGCTCAGCGGTTGAGACTCAATGGTCAGCCTATCACTGTCCACGACTGTAACAGAAGCCATTGTCATTACAACCGTGCTATCACTGTCCAGCTTGAAGGAGCAGAATTAACAAGAATCTACATTCAGACCAACCACTCACTCTCAGTCCACAAGATGTGGGAACACAGTGAAGGCCCAGGTGCCTTTTTGAGGGCACAAATGTTAGGCCATCAAACCTAAGCCTGATATTACAAGAAATATGGAAGACGAAAATTATGAAAAAGGGAAGAACTGGTTATATCTTTAAAATAGTAAGATTCTGGGGATTTCACATGTCTTACAGCAGCTTGCTCCCAGCACACCAGGGTAGCCAGACACTATGCACAGAGCACTCATGGGTCATGGATTTACATGACAGATGCCGGGGACACTCTGGTGAATGAGGAGGCCCCAAGGAAGTTTGAACTTCACACACATCTTGGCTCATTCAAGAACTAAAAGATGCCTATTCATGTAGGATCCTTTCAAAAGTACTTAGCTACAGACTCAACAGGACAGAATTCCTTTTATTGGGTTCTGACCCTGTGTTCTCTCTACACTGCTGAGTCCAAGGCCAGCGGAAACTGCTGCCGTTTTGGATGCAGGCAGTGAACGAAGGAGCCACGACACCACAGACTTTTGGCTTGGGCGAAGGAACTGAAATGTTACCAGGCACTGAACTGACTTGTAAAAATGAAACAGCTGGAGGTTGAGAGGAGTTATCAAGAATTAAGTTGGGACAAATGTTTCTAGATTAAAAGTGAAGGTGCCAGCTAGTTAAATGAGTGAATTTGAGGAGGAAGCCAACTGCAGAAGCACGCTCCGGATGTATCAGTAAATACACAATAATGTAAAGTGAGATGTTAGCAACGAACCACGGAGCTTCAATACAGGAAAGCAGATCTAAAAATCAGCTTTTGGGGAGAATAGCTGGTGGGTGCAGCAAAGGACACAATGAAGCCTCCTAGAGAGTTGTCAGAAGGTAAAGGACACAGGTCAAGGCTTCATATGCAGTGTAAAACCCAGCTGTGTCTCTTCTCTCAAAAGCCTGCTGGTAAAGCACTTCCACACACGTCCGATCCTATCTTTTAAAATCCCCACAAGATAAAGCTCTAGGACATGGAACAGAGTGCAGGTGCACGTGGGCACCTCCCTAGGCTCATGCCTAACTCCAGGGGCAGTGCTAGTGCAATCCTTCTCGCTTCTGGGAATACATTTAAAAGCTGCTCTCGTACTGAGTTAACAAATGAGAAAACCAAATCTCTGGAGGAATGTAAAAAATAGACACTATACTTAAAAACCACTAACACTGTTTTGTCTTTAAAAAAATCTTTTTAATTTTATGTGTATTTGTGCACCTGAGCCCAGGTACCCGAAGAGATCTGAGGAATTGGCTTGCTTCCTGCTGGAAGTGGAGTCATAGGCATGTGTGAGCTGCCTGACGTGAGGCCTGGGAACCAAACTTGGGTCCTCTGGAAGAGCAGCACCTGCTGAGTCAGAAGTAGTTCTAAATTTCTTTTTAAAAATTATTTTATGTGTATGAGTGTACTGCTTGAAAGTAAGTGCACCCATGTCATGCAGTGTTTGGGGAGGTCAGAAGAGGGCGCTGGATCTCCTGAAACTGAAGTTACAAGTGATTGTTATCTGCCATGTGGGTTCTGAGAATTGAACCCAGGTCCTCTGCAAGAGCAGCCAGTGCCCTTGGCTGCTGAGCCATCTCTCCAGCTCCTCAAAATTTCTTGTTAAAAAATAAAGGTATAGGAAAATCACCAGGCACATGGTGTACACACACACACACACACACACACACACACACATACACACACACAGAGAGAGAGAGAGAGAGAGAGAGAAAGATATGGGCATAGGCTTCACCAACAATACAAAAAAACCAAAGAGGAACAGCCTAAATGTTATAGTAAGTAGCAGGTTATTACCCGGTTCCAGTATCTATGGGGCTCATATACCTGAGTAGCAAGTGTGGACACTAAGAACCTCCGGAGATGGCACTCAACTCGTGCCTGCTGCCTTACATAGCAGAGCCGCTTAACTTTTCTATTTGGCTTTTCAAGAATGAGTTTTCTCCCTCCCCAGTGCTACAGACCGAACCCACGGCCCCCAAGCATGTTCTCATGGAGCTAAACTCCCAACCCAGGTCATGAACATAATTCCCAACAACCTAAAGTGGGTTTATGTGCCATCAAATGGACTGCAGAGAGAAGCACCTCGTTCCTGCTCAGAGCTGGTCCTCTCCTCGCTGGCAGCCGCTCCAGCATCCGCAGTTGACTGATTCTCGGCCTCACTGAGTTCTGTCAGCACTTCACTTTCATCTTCAGACATGGATTTAATCGTCCAGAGAGATTTCTGACTTCGAATCTTATTTAGTAATCTTCTAAAAAGAATTTTTGAAGGGATTTGTTGGGACTTCACTGCCAAGGGTCCTAAAAAAAGGGGAGAGGGGATTTAGTTTCATTACAATCAGACAAATTCTACTTAAAATTTTTTTATCTATTATTTTTATTTTCTGCGTTATGAGCATACTGCCTGCATTGGTAGGTGCACCCGTGTCATGCAGTGCCTGTGGAGATCAGAAGAGGGCGTTGGATCCCCTGGAGCTGGTGGTTGTGAGCCACCTCATGTGGGTGCTGGGAAATGAACTCTGGTTTTCTGAAAGATCATAAAGCTCTAACGACCATAAAACCATCTCCCAAGCCCCTTGTTTTTTAGTTATATAGAACTGGAATCATGAATCTAGGCAAAATTTTCCACCTGGTTCTGCCAGTAACCATTAGTCTGTGAACCATTTATTTTAAAGACAGAGTCTCGCTTTTCTTTCTTCTCACATTATTTATGTATATTGCATGCGTGTATGTGTAGTACTTGGATGAAACCCAGGGCTTCATGTGCTAGGCAAGCCTCTACCATTGCGCTGACCATCAACCTTCAGTTGTCACTGTTTTAAAATGCAGAATGAGCATTCAGTTTTGTTTTGCTTTTTTTTAAGTGGTGGGAGGATTCCTAGTCTTTATTTTTTGTCCTGAAGAGAAAAAGCAGGGGCTGGAGAGTGGTTAAGAACAACTGCTACTCTTGGAGAGGACCTGGGTTCAATTCCCAGCCTCCACAGGGTGGCTTACAACCATCTATAACTCCAGTTACAGGGGATCTGATGCCCTCTTCTGGCCTCCATAGGCACCAATCACACATGTGGTATACATATATACATGCAGCCAACACCCATACACACGAAAATAAATCGAGAGAGAAAGTGTTGCCATTTTGCCCAGCCTGGCCCTGACTCTTGGAAGTTCACTTGCCTTGGCTTCCTAGTAGTTGGAACCGCAGTGAGCTACAGCACCCAGCTTCCTAGCTCTTTATGAGAAACTGGAAGGCTTCACCATGCTAGGCCAGACCCTAACCTGGCTCCACAGGAAATGAAGTGTCTCTAGGTATGCCAGGCTCCAATTCTGACAATCTAGAAACCACCATGAAAACAAGTTAAAAAAAATATATATATATGGTTGAAATGGCAAAAAACAATTTGGGAGGGGGGGGGGTCTCAAAAAAGACTCAGATGGCCTGGAACTCACTATGCAGACCAGGCTGGCCCAGAGAACTGCCTGCCTCTGCCTCCCGAGTGCTGGCAAAAATATTTTCTTAAACACATGGCTAATCTGCTAATCTAGCAGGAAAGTAAGATTCTTCAGAAGAAAAGAATGAGGTTTCTGGAGGAACCCTGAAAAAAAAGGCAAGTAAATACTGAACCCCACTGTTCACTGAGTTTACAGCAAAGCCAAACCATGGAGCCTTTTACTCACAGGGAGTGTGGGCCCTGTGGGCAGGAAACAAGGACAAGGCCAAGTCCCCATCCAGAGTCTACAAGAGACAAAGTCAGAACCATAAAGAGCTAGGTTTACAGTACAGTAAGACAGACGACTTAAGGGTTTTAAATAAAGACAACACTGGTAGAGATAAGAGGGAAAAGAAGTCAGTCCAATTGTTAGGGTTTAGTCTTTTTTTTCATATTTTATTTATTATTTTTATTTTATGTGTATGTGTGCACTGCCTGCATGTAGGTAAGTGAGGCTGTGAGATCCCCTGGAACTAGAATTACAGACAGTTGTTAGCTGCCATGTGGGTGCTGGGATTCGAACCCAGGTCTTCTGCAAGAACAGCCAGTGTTCTTAACCGCTGAGCCGTCTCTCCAGCCCAGGATTTGTTTTTTTAAAAAAATATTTTATTTATTATTATTTTTTTTATTTTACGTGTATGAGAGTGGTGCCTGCGTGTATGTGAGGGTACCCTTGTCGTGCAATGCTGCGGAGGTCAGAGGAAGGCTTCAGATTTCCCTGGAACTGGAGTTAAGGATGGTTCGTAGCTGCCATGTGGGTGCTGGGAATTGAACCCAGGTCCTCAGCAAGAGCAGTCAGTGCTCTCAACGGCTGAGCCATCTCTCCAGCCCCCGGATTTGGTCTTCTTAAAAAAAATTTATTATTTTTATTTTGTGCGTCTGACTGCACTGCCTGCATGCATGTCATGTATGTAGTGCACCCGTGTCGTACAATGCCTGCAGAGATCAGAAGAGGGCATCAGATCCCCTGAAATTGGAGTTATGGACGGTTGTTAGCTGCGAGTGGGTGCTGGGAATCGAACCCAGGTTCTCTCCAAGAGCAGTCAGTACTCTCGCCCGCTGAGCCAACTAACTCTACAGCCCCTGGGACTTGGTCTTTAAGGAAACAGACGTGAAAGTGAGAATGTTTGGTGTGGCCTTAGTAACTGGTACCTTCATTCACTTCATTTCATTTACTTAGTGGGGAGAAGGGTGTAGAGGTCAGAGGACAACTTGCAGGAGTCGGCTCTCTCCTTCCACCATGTAGGTCCAGGAATGGCACTCAGGTTGTCAGGCTTGGAAGCAAATACCTTTACCTACTGAGCCACCTCACTGACCTAATCATCCACTTAAGATAGGAAGAGAAGGTTTGGTAGACAAGAGATGACTGTGAAAAAGTTCAAGATGCTGAAGGCAAGGATGAAGGTTAGGAGATGAAAAGTCTGTACAATTCATCACTACACATGAAGTACCCAACAGGATTTCTAGTGGTCTTACCAAGTCCAAAAATTGCTGACCCTTCAAGTAAGTTCAGAATTGAATATCTAACTTAAATAACCTAAAGATTTCTGAACTTTGTCAAAGGGTTCCCTCCTACACACAGGAAACAGGTCTCTAACAATGGAAATATGAAAACATGCCTTCCTGCCACCATGCCCATCAAGGATGCCACTCTTGTACTTAAATTACAACACATTTTCCTTCTGTTAACTAGTGATAAATAATCTTCCTGAGAGTCTACTTGGCTTAGAAGGGGCTTTTACCGTCTGCATCACTAGAACATGGCATTTCAGCAGCTGGCACTTGAGGGTTCTCGGTTTCTTGTTCCACTGAAAGGTCAAGTTCTTCATCTTTGAGCTGATCAGTCACACTGGGCAAAGGCTCTGGCTCAAGATGCAAAATCAGGTTTCCTCTCACCTCTTAATAAAGAAATACAGAGATGTTTTCCTTTCAACATGACCAAAAATTTGATTATAAAAATTTAAAGGCTATCAACTTCTAAATCTGAAATACAAGGCCTCTTCATACTGAGAACTCATTCCAAAACAAAAGTGGCTTATCACTACACATACAGCATGTAAAGGCACTGCTGCCGTCTGCTGGATACCCACTCCTGTCCGCACTGTACACATCTTCAAAGGCGAACTCCAGCTCTCTCTGCCAGTCTTCTTTCAACTCGCTGCGCTTGTACGGAAGTTCAATGAGCTGTGATGGCATCTGTGCTACAGCCTGTCTCCTCCGTGCCAGGTCCTCTTTCTGTAGCTGTCTGAGTTCTTCCATGAGCCTCTCTTGGTTCTTCAAGAAAAGCAGTTAATGACAGTGCAGTCAAACTTTGGAGTAGCATTAACCAGAGGGGAAAGAAGAACGAGACTTAGAATTCCTTCCCTGCCTCTCCCACGGATTCTGACACAAGACTACTCTAATTTTCCCATCCAACATTTGCCAAATGCCAGATACACTCTAAGTATTAGGGGAAACTCTCAACCCTGCACTAGCAGTGGGACCAGACAGGCAGCACTATGAAAAGATGATACTAGTTAGATCATAAGTCTAAAAAGGGCCAGCCACTTTATGTCTGTCTGAAAAAATCCATTAAATCACTTTCTGTTTAACTACAGGGCACCTGCAAGGTACTGCAGTTTACTTTATGAACCTCTCTGGGGTAAGCACTATGGTCCTGAGCTACTGTGGTTTAAATGATGATGTTTCCTGTCACTCCAAAATTGGACTCCAATGATATAAAATTTTAAAAATTACTTTGTATGTTTGAGTGCTTTGCCTGGATGTATGTAACTGCACCCATGTGTGCAATGCCTATGGAGGCCATAGCCGGGTATGGTGGCGCACGCCTGTACCAGCACTTGGGAGGCAGAGGCAGGCATCTCTTTGAGTTTAAGGCCAGCCTGGTCCACATAGTGAGTTCCAGGACAGCCGGGGCTACAGGGAGACCCTGTCTCAAAAAAGGCCAAAAAAAAAAAAAAAATCCATTAGTAAAAAGATACACTTTGCAAAGACCTTCATCTAAATCTGCTCCTGAAAGACTACAAAGAAAGTGGGGGAACCTCAATCCAATCACATGAATCAAAGGCTATACATGACAATTAGTGTTGCCAACTTAACAAAACCATCTTCTGGAGATGGGCCTCTGGGCATGGCTGTAGAGGTTTACCCTGACTGCACTGGTCAAGGTGGGAACAGCTGTCCCTGTGGGTGGCCCTGTTCCCTCTGCAGAAGTAAAGGAGCTGAGTGGCTGCACTCATCCCCGTCCTGCCTATGGATGTGTGACCAGCTGCTTCAAGCTCCTGCTGTCGTGACCTCCCCACCATGTCTTGAACTATGAGCTAAACCGAGCCTTTCCTGCCTTCAATTGCTTTTGTCACGATATTTATCACAGCAGTGGAAAAAGAAGCGAAGAGCTACTTTTACAGCTCAGGACTCAGCTTACTCACTGCAGATGTGCAATGTCACCAGTCAGCACATGCATAGCAGTCACAAGTACAGTCAGTTCTTGCCTGGGCCAGATGGAGCTTCTTCATGGCTTGGGAGCCCCGCACATGGGCCTTCTCACACTGCACCAGTCTCTGCTGTGTCGCCTGCTTACGTAGTTCCTCCAACCGCCTAGCTTCTTCTTCAGCAGCCAAATGAGCATCTGGCTAACAGTCAAGCAACACAACTTTAGATCTTCTCTTTGTTTTTTAAATAAGTGTAAAACAGAGAACAGCTTAAAAAGGTTATTAACAAAATTGTTCTTATATAAAATTAAATAGTAAAAGCTATTTGTTGCAATCTAAAGTCCACAGTAGTGCTATAGTGAATTTATTTTCCTAGTAGCCAAATATGTACACTATGACAAACATCAACAACAACTATTGCACTGGGTATGGTAGCTCACACCTTTAATCCCAACACTCTGGGGGCAGAAGCAGGTATCTGTTTGAGGCCAGCTGGTCCACTAGCAATTCCAGCCCAATCTCCAGCAAAACAAAATCAACACCCACATAACAATGACAAACAACCCACTATTCCAAACACACAGCAGATACAACAAAAACAGTTAGGTTCACTTTCCATGCAGGGTCCATGACTTCCAAAGACTATATATTATTTTATGATAAAAAGTTTGGAAATCTGCCAGGCGTGGTGGCACACACCTTTAATCCCAGCACTCAGGAGGCAGAGGCAGGTGGATCTCTGTGAGTTCAAGGCCAGCCTGGTCTACATAGTGAGTTCCAGGACAGCTGGGGCTACAGGGAGACCCTACCTCAAAAAAAAAAAAAAAGTTTAAAGATTATTTTATGTTATAATGAAACCCATTATTTTGTACAGTTTAGGAAATATATATACTACTTTAAGACAGCCACTTAAATAGCGATCTTTCTTCCATTCACATAGGACCATCATTTATCTGACACAAAAAGTCAAAGCAGTTTAGGTTTTTTTGATTTTTTTTTTGCTTAGAATATAAGACTGTTCAAATTTTGAGAACTGGATACGCCAGACAGACAAAATAGAACTCAACTTGTAAAGTGACGTTAAGAACAAACGGACAACTAATCACCTGCTTGGTGTCCATCTGTCTACTCACAAATGTGGAAATGTGATGGTAGGTGGAACTGTTGGTTTTCAGTGAAGAAATTCTGTTTACTTCAATGTTCTGGAAAATGGAGCATTAAAATAAAGTGAGGTTCAAAGCATGACTTTTTTCACTTAAAACTAGAAATACAAAAAGCAAAACTGTTTCTGTTCAAATTTAATTCCCACTAAGAGATGCTGAGGTGGACCCACATGGGACCTTTGGGGGGTGATTAGGGCTCTCCTCTCATGAATGGATCCATCCACTCAAGTGATCAGTGGACTCTTGGGTTAATGAATTATTCCCAAGATAAGTTTGGCCAGGTCTCTGCTCTACTGCCTGTTTCTGGCTGAGATGCCTGGTCTACGTGACTACAAGCAGAAGACCACCACCAGATGAAGCCCATCAACCTGGCCCCTCGGCCAATCTTTCCTTTATGCTCTAACTTGTCTGGGACACTGTATCATTAACAACAAAAAGCACACTGAAACAATCGGACCCATTCAACATGCTTATGTTAAAAGTTGGCTTAATAAGGAAATATTTAAATTCAAGCTTCAATAAAGCAGATCCTCTAATACTTCAAACGTCATTTCTTTAATATTTTTACTTTAGAAGTTCACTCCAACTTCTAAGTTACTCAAAGAGTCATTTGCTAGAGAGGGTCCCCAGGGCCTTGTACACACTGAGCAGGTGCTCTCCCACTGGGCTCCATCTCCTGTACCAAGAACATTTTTTTTTCTTTGGTCTTTGTTTCCCTGCAGCCCCAGCTGGTCTGGAACTCACTAGGAAGACTAGGCTGGCCTCCATATCACAGAGGTCCACCTGCCTCTGCTGGAATTAAAGGTACGCACTGCCACGCCAGCCTGAGAACACCTTTCAACTTTCTGAATATCTTGTGCTTACGAGGTATGTCAAATCATGAGCACATCACTGTATTTATAGGAAAAAACACACACACTATTGTGTCTCCATAGCTAGTCACAAAACCCCACTAGAGTTCACATTAGCCTCATTTCTCAATGTTTAATGATATGTTTTGGTGTGGAAACACTACCCAATATTTAAGAATATTCCAAAACAATTCTCAAGAAGATGAAATAAACTACTTTTCCTGCTTCCTATACTTTGTCATAAAAGATCTGGCCCATCACAATATATGTAATTAAATCAATTAAACTATAATGAATGTGTCTACAATGTATTACACAAGCTAGGCACTGTAAACAACATTGGAAAGTAAAATAATGGTTCCTACCTTAAAAAATTTTTAATAGTTCTAAAAGCTAAAAGTTCTGATAATGTAATACTTTGCACATAATTTGATAAAGCCTGTTCGCAAAGAAATGCCAACTCCCTCAAGTCTGGCGCACACTGCAGCAAGGTCTTGTAAGTGTCCGTCAGCTTTCCCATGCAAAGAAGGCACAGTTATTTCTATGCCACGCGCTCATCCTGACAGTGATTATGGGAATCACGTGTTTCAGAAAGCAACTGGTGAACTGCCAGGTGGAAACACAAATCTGACACAAGTTCGGAGGAAAAAGCATAACAGACTGAGAAATGATAAAGTTTTAATATGAGTGGGGAGCAATGAAAAGGACCTGAGCAAAAGGAAAAGCCATAAAAGGTAGGAAAGAATTAGAAAACTAGGCAAATGAAGGTCTGACTACAAGAGTTATCTAAGTAGTTTCTGAAAACTAGACATCATGGTCCCACACCAAACCAATTAAAATCAGAATCGGGAGATGTAGCCTAGCACTAGCTTTTTTTGGGTCTTTTTGAGACAGGGTCTCCCTGTAGCCTCAGCTGTCCTGGAACTCACTATGTAGACCAGGCTGGCCTTGAACTCACAGAGATCCACCTGCTTCTGCCTCTGCCTCAGCCCCCCCGCCCCGCCCCCAGGTGCTGGGATCAAAGGTGTGCACCACCACGCCTGGCTTAGCACTCGCTTTTTTAAAAAGCTCCTAAATGGCAAATGTGCAGTTCAAATTGAGACTTAAGACATTCAGAAGACACACTGACAAATACCTGGAAACCCAGTTGGCTGTACTCATGGTCTTTTAACTGAGGCAAAGGATGAAGCTATGCACAAAGGACATTTTCCCACTAATGAAAACATTAGCACTTTTTTGGAGACAGGGTCTCATGTAGCCCAGGCTGGCCTCAAATTCACTGTAGCTCTGGATGGTCTTGAACTCCTGGTCCTCCTGCCTCCACCTCCTAGGTGCTAGGATTACAGACAAGCACCACCATATTTTGCTTAATTAGTTAATTTTATAACTAAAGTTCAGAAAAACCATGTAACGTGTTAAGAAACTGAAACTGCAAAGCAAAACTCAGAAGATGGGAAGACACATTAGGAAAGAATGATCCACAGGACCAGGTTCTTTTTAAGAAAATATTTTATGGGGCTGGAGAGATGTGGGTGCTGGGAACTGAACCTGGGTCCTCTGTAAGAGCAGCCAGCACTCTCAACTGCTGAGCCGTCTCTCCAGCCCCTGGCCCAGGTTCTTAAATGCAAGTCTTAGGATCAGGTGCGGGACACTGCCCTATGAATTTGAAACAGGGTCTCTTAAAGCCCCTTAAGCAACCCAGGCTATTGCCATTGTTGTTAGTTACCCACCAGAACCAGATGGAAAGATCCCATTGCTGAAGACACCACACACTCTGGTTGCAGGACAGAGAAATCAACTGTCCTGACCTGGGAGTTTCCTCCCTGCTGGCTAGCCTTCATAACACCAGAAGGTACTCTGTAGGCCACTGCTGGAGACGTGTCTTACCTAGCAGTGGTCCCTCCATACAAATGTGCCGGCTTATCCTACTTACCAACGACTTTCTGAGTGGATCTGAGGCTCATGCCACAGGAGGGAACTCATGCCTGGTACTGTAACCTGGCCAAAAGCCCAAGGACGGGAAGACAACAGGCCCAGAAAGACCCTACTGCTGGTGTTTTGCTAAATGGATATGTTGTCAAACTGCCCTCTAAAGATTTATGTTTATACCCACAGATTTTACTATGAAAGGTTCTGCTTTCAGCCTTGTGAGAAGCATCATTTGTGGGCAGTGATTAATGCAGAGACTCACAACTTGTCCAAATGCTTTGAAATAGTGACTTTTGAATATGTGACAAGTCTATCACACACCCCTGCCCAAGGTTCAGGGAACATCAGGAAACACCAGAGAAGGGAGTGCCAGAAAGAACATTAAGAGTGGGAAGGGAAGGAGTACTATGGGATGCTGTCTTCTGGACAGAACATGGCAGTTGCACTTGACATCCCAACATGGATGGGGGCACATGAGGCCCACTCCTAGCTGAGTCGATGCTGGCAGTTAATGGTTGCTTGGGGAAAGGGAGCCATTTTTCTTCTAATGTATTGTCTATGATTCACAAATGACCTCACCCTCATGCACATGTAACCATCCCTATTTAAAATCAGTGTTATTACAAAAATACAGGAAGAGGAAGGGCATGTGTGAGAAGAAGGATCCTACCTACAGGAGTCTGCTTCCACACCCAGCTACAACCTCCACAGCTGGAGGAGTTTCGCCACACTTTCTCCAGGATTCTATTTATTTATTTTATGTGCAAGAGTGTTCTGCATATGTGTAGATAAGGACACCAGGTCATGCAATGCCTGTGAAGGCCAGAAGAGGGCACTGGATCCCCTGGAACTGGAGTTATGGAGGGTTGCTAGCCACCATGTGGGTGCTGGCAACCTAACCCAGTACTCTACAAGAGCAGACGCTCAATGGCTGAGCTTCCCTCCAGCCCACATTTATAGTTCGATCCTCTTGGAGAGAGCAGGAAGGGATGAGAGAATGGTGAGGTGGGGGATAAGATCAAAACACAGTATGTACATGGGAGAATGCGGAGGTGAGGGTTAGATCAAAGCAGTCTGTACATGGATGAGACTGTCCAAATACACAACTATTTTAAGAAAATAATGTACTATTCTACAAAATAATTTTAAGTTTTTATATCAACACCTTAAAAAAAAACCACTAGCCGGGTTTGGTGGCATAGCACTTTAATTCCAGGCAGATGCAGGCGGATCTCTGTGAGATCCAGGCCAGTGGCCTGCATGGTCTACACAGTGAGTTCCAGGGCAGCCAGGGCTGCATAGTGAGAGCCTGTCTCAAAAAGAACAAAACAACACAAAAAAACAACAAATCACAGGCTTCTTAAGGATGTTAAAAAGATATGAAAATGTAATCCAATTTAGAAGCAACTTCTAAGAACTACTACTTCCAAAATCAAAGCAGTTACATGTAAAATTTAAATTACCACCAATCGTTATCCATTAAAACACTTTCAGTGAACTGTACTAAGCTTAGTCAAATCTTGGGCTGAGTTAGGATGAGTTGTTAAGGATTGAAAACTAGAACTGTTCAGCTGCCATGTGCTTCCAGCTTAGCTCTGCTCTGCTGTAAGCTACTTCTAGACTTAACCCAGGTTCAGCCCAACCAGTGCTCTACAGCCTGTGACCAGCTCACAACAGGGGAGGCTCACTTAGAGGTCCCACAGCTGTGAGTGAACACAGCCACTTTCTCCTGTGCCTAGTGCTGTCTCTGAAGGTGGCACAGAAAAGAAAACTTGCTTTTAAACGAAGTATACCGGTACTAAGACGTGTTCACGGCACCTGGGGTTTCAATGCCATGGCTATTTGCACTTAGACCTAGTGTCTGTAGTTTAACTGAGTGAAGGCTAAGGTAGTATACTCATGGGAGGCTAAGGGTCACAGGAGAAAGGCCATGCGCTTGTAGAACAGATCTCGATACAAGCCCTGGTTCGTCACTTATCTAACTTTGTTCAGGTTATTCAACCCTTCATCTTCAATTTTCCTCATTAGTTTAACAGGCCTAACTTCTATCCTGCATGGCTATCATAGTGAATGAATGTGACAACTAAAATCCCAGGACGGCAACAGTGCCTGTGTCTTCACCGTGCACGCAGTTCTCTGGTATCAGTGTATTCAAAATGCTTTTTTCTTGGATTACATAATTAGGGTGCTTGTTGTGTGTGTGCATCCTTTTTTTTTTCTTTTTGAGATAGGGTCTCACATAGCACAAGGTAGTCTCCTAGTCTCAAACTTGCCATGTAGCCAAGACAGGCCTTGAACTCCTGATCTTCCTGCCTCCACCTAAAGGAGTGGTCTATCATGACCAACTAAGACATTATTGGTTTGAAAAGACCTGACAGTTTTCATTTCTTTCCCCAGGATATTCTCTCTGTCTCTCTTTCTCTCTCTCTTTGCTTAGAGGGACAGTGATACAGATGCACCTGTATCTGTATATATGACACAGGTTACCTTAACCTCCAAGGCCCCAAACATGCCACAACTTAACCCTTCCAAACCAAAGTCCTATTCTTATCCACACCACATTCTCAAAACATATTCAGAGACATTTCTCTTTCCCAAATGTCTTGATAGGTTTGAATAATGGACTTATCTGTGAAGCACTGTTTTTCAACTAAGAATGTCATCACCCAGATCTTAGTTTATAAGTCATTTCTCCACAAAATACAACACAACAAACCCAAGGCTCTTTGGCAATGCAGATGTAAGACTCAGTAGTTCACAGGGAGCCAGGGTCACTCACTGGGCACTGGGCTAGGGAGCAAAGCAGCACTGAGAAATGAAGGCGTAAATCCTTCAAGAGTCTGTTCTCACAAAATTTCACACTATGAACCTCAGAAACGTGAAAAAGGACAAGAACTGTAATGTAGAATAAAAACTTCCATCTCCAGAAAAAAAAAAAGAAGACAAAAAGACCCAAAAACAAAAGCCCACGTGCTGCCCTGGAACTGCGCTGCAGGAACTGCACTGCTGCACCACCTCTGCTCTGAGTGGCCGGTCTTCTTAAAAGGAGCCAACTTTCATGTTCCCTGATCAAAGAGCTGTCTTTTTAGACAGAAGCAGCCCAGTGACTACATGCAGGCGACATACATGGCCAGGTGGCAAAGCATCGCTCAGAACACATGGTGCTGAAATGTGGGGGAGCCTTTGGGTGGAGGTGCGCCTCCTGCCATTCCGCACCCTCAGGTGCGACACAATGGACGCCTCAGTTCGGCCTGTGCTGGGCACAAAGCCTTTAAACCTGACCTTCAGCCCCGTGAGAATGCAGTCCACGACCCCACGTGAAAACAGGAGATACTTCTGTGGTTTCGCCAAAGTCTAAAATACATGATACAGGCCAAAGAGATGACTCAGAACCCAGACATACAATGTAGTAAAATCGTCTAGGTGAGACAGAATACTTGTTTTTGAACCTTCATAATAAAAACTGTTTCTCAGCAAAGTACATCATATTTATGTATGAAGACGTCACACTGAAAACCATTATTCTGTGTAATTAATACATGCCAATAGTTAAGAACTTGTTCAGAGTAGGGGAAATATGTTCTGCATTAAGAGATGGAGAACCCACAGCAGGTGCACTGACAGAACAGGTTGGACAAGAGCACTCTGACCGGGCACGGAACATCAGAGTTCCCTTTCACAGTGCAGTTAACAGCACTGCGAAGGCAGGACAATGTCCTTACTTATACAAGACGCCTGCTGAAGTTTTTAGGGTGGACTGTGACCCCCACACTTTTCATTTAGTGTGTACATATACAAATGTATTTGTTTGAAATACATACTCGGGATAAGCAGACATTCACTGTATTCTTAATTCTCTGTATTTTGAAAATTCTCATGATAAAAACTTGCAAGGACAAGCACATTTATATATAACTCATAACTACCAAGCCCTTATGCAGACAATACTTTGCTCTATGCTTGTAGATTATCTGGAATATTAGAAATTATAATAAAGGCATGGTGCCTCTTCACTCACTGTCTCAGCCTTGAGGGAGTGACTGAAACAGGGCCTTTTCACCTGAGCCTTCTGGATCAAATGGCACATGGCAGATGGCTCAGTGAGAGCGGGGGAAGCTGGCGAAGGAAAGGCCTGAGACCTATACTCATGCTGATCACACACACAGGACGCTGACATCCCCACAGACACCCCTGTCCTGGTGCTAAGTCTGCATGCTTTATTGAACTTTTCAGATCATTTCTGCAGCCGCTCCAACTATGAAGTGCTAGTGAGTAAGAGAATGGATTCTTTCTTTGGAACAAGAGCTCACTGTGCTAACTCAACCTCCTGCTTCAGCTTCGTGAGTACTGGGAATACAGGTACGAGTTGTCAACCCCATTCTAAAACTTTTAAAATTAAAATTACTTTCTACTTTAGCTGGGCGTGCTAGTGCACGCCTTTAATCCCAGCACTCCAGAGGCAGAGGCAGGTAGATCTTTGGGAGTTCGAGGTCAGCCTGGTCTACACAGAGTCCCAGGCCAGCTGGGGCTACAGGGAGACCCTGTCTCAAAAACAGACGGACACACACACACACACACACGCAAGTCCCAATCACAAAGCACACACTTCTAGTCCTATAAATAAACCTTTCTCATGACCTTATGACTGTAGACAAATTTTTAAGTGTATCCAAAGCTTAATCAGATAGGATGTCAAATCCAAACACAGAACCATCTACAGTACGACTACTGTAACTTTTCCAACAAATAAAGGCCTGTAACTCCAGCACTGAATTCACATGCAGAACCCCCCACAGAAATACACACAATTAAAAATATAATAAAAACATTTTTAAAAAAACAAGGAAATAATTATTTTTGACCTCCACTGAATTATAACAAAGAATCATAATCTAGCACCTCTCAAAGCTCCAAGTAATTCACCTCAAAAGGGGCTGGAACAGGAGCTGGCAACCTGGTTATTCTGGCCGATCTCTCTCTCTCCACAAGCAGTGCTTCCTTTCGAGCTTTTATATGCCTTAAAACACAAAAAAGTTAACTCTTGGATAATGCCCTATTACTAAGATGAACAGCAACACACTACCTGGTGTCAGTACAGAAAGGGTCAGAACACAGAGCAGGGGCCTAGGAGTCATCCAGCCTGACTCCACATTAGCCTAACAAACTGGACATGTAAGAACACGGTTACCAACTGCAGGAGACTTCCCGAAGACAGGACCTCCTACAAGTGTCTGGTGTTCTTTACAGTGAAAGAACTAGAATGCTGTTGAAGATGGGCCCTGTGTGAGACGACCAGTGCAGACTGCTTATGGGCTCCGTAACTTTCACATCAGAGGAACAAATGGAAGTGCCCAGCACAACCTTCTAATGCGCCGGATCACGCTGGTTTTCATCCCTTTTTATATCAGAGGTAGTTTTTGGTTGATCTGCCATCTGAACTGCTTATACATTTCTCCAGATACTTAGTTACTGTTGCTGAACTCAGAATGCTTAGACTCTACTAATTCGTTATCACATTCAGATATTAAGCCCAGTTCAGAGTACAATGGATACCCAACATGACTTTTACTCACTGTCCTGACATGGCTCCCTACATCCCCCCACTTCTAGCCTCCCTGGCTTCAGCTGAGATGGTAGAAATGACTGTGTCACCTGGTTTTCTGCTTCGTTAACATTTCTTTTTGACTCTTCTGTACTTTCAGGGCCTCCTTATGCCTCATTTCTGCTTTTCTTTTTCTTTCCGTTGCCCGCCGAGCCACGGCATCCACGTCAGGTTCCTAAATACATGTACTGCTTAAAAAGTCAAGTCAAACAAGGCTAACAAAATGTACCTACCTGATATCGGCACACGGTGACCTTTCAATTCTGTCATCTCTTCCCACAGTACAAGGTACTCCTCAAGGCACAGCAATGGAACCACCACCAACAGGCCACGTTAGTCAAGACGTATTACCACTCAACTCAGTACAACAACATAAATACAACAGCAAACTACTTAGGAAAAGGGTGAAATTAGCTAACAAAAGACTCTATTTAAACTAAAATGCCAAATACATAGTAATATGGGTGGTTTCCCAGCCAGGGCCAAATGGCACGGGGGCCAAATGGCTCTGGTCTGGGATGACTGGCTTAAACTTAAGCCAGCAGTAGCCGCACAGAGTACAAAATCTAAAGTCAGGACTTAGGGCTACTGCTAAAAACATGGACAAAAACCAAAGACAAAAACACACAAAGGAAAACAAAAACCACGCTGCCGCACTGCTTGAAGGTCCTTCTTTCCCTTGCTGACTAAGATTTGTCTTCTTTGGAACCAGCCTATCAACTGTGTGACTGACTCCAGGACGACAAACAAGTATTTCTTTCCTTCCTCCCTCTCTATTTAGAGGGATCAGGAGTGAACTGAAATTTGGAAGTCTGAATTTCACTGAGTCTGTCCAAAATGCCTGAGATGAAAAACTTCTGAAAGAAAAGGGTATCATCTTTTTACACAGATAAGACCTGACCACCACAGGAGGAAAAGTATGCTTGGCGTGGCTTGCCAAGAAACAATACACACGTTATGTTACGCTGATTCACAAAATGAGGCTCAGCTTGCCCACCCCCCAATCCTAAACATTAAAAGAGGTTTATCAGGAGAATTTGACAAACACAATGTACTCACACTGCCTCAGGCAGTCATCAAATACGGTAGCTCACTCACATTTTCTTTGGCCCGTTGATGTCCCTCTCCCATATGCCTTAAACTTGCCAAATACAATTTTTCCAAGTTTTGTATTTTCTGGCTTTGGGCTTCCTCCCATTCTGCCCTGAGCTCCTCAGCCAAGCGAGTGAGTTGCTGATTTCTCCTCTGTTTCACATCTTCTCTTATCTGGAAAGCGATGCCTCTTTCTTGTTCTCGAACCTGGAAGACAAATGCTTAAAGGAATACACGAAGGGGATGTAAACTTTTTTTTTCTGGTCTTTTTGAGATAGAGTCTCCCTGTAGCCCCAGCTGGCCTGGAATTTGCTATGTAGCCCAGGGTGGCCACAATCTCGAAGAGATCCACCTGTGTCTGCTTCCTGAGTGCTGGAATTAAAGGCATGTGCTACTGTGCCCGGGATGCCCACAGCTATTTGGAAATACTTGAGTTAAATAATACCTATCTTCCAACTCTAATCTATTTAACTGTCAGTTTAATTTTTCAAATGTTCCAAAATTTGTTAAGACACAAGAACCAGAGTTCATTTATTTATTGATTTTTGAGACAAGGTTTCCCTGTAGCCCCAGCTTGCCTGGAATTCATTATGTAGACCAGGCTGGCCTTGATCTCATATTCACCAATCTCTGATTCCCAAGTGCTGGGGCTAAAGGCGTGCGCCACCACACCTGGCTAAGAACCAGCGTTCTTGTATAGAAAGTAAAAGCTTTTAAATTCAACAATTTATTAATTACGCTCTAATCCAAAATGTACAAATAAATTATGTAGACCAGGCTGGCCTCAATCTCACATAGATCCGCCTGCCTCTGTCTCCTGAGTGCTGGGACTAAAGTCCTGTGTCCCCATATCGGCCAAGACAAAGAATTTAAAGCTTATTCCACATAAGCCCTACCTGGAGCAATCTCAATCTTCGCCTTCTTTCATAATCCTCCTTCAAAACGAAGGCTTCCTCGTTAGGACTCAATCTCAGCTTCCCAGCTTTTCCTACCTTTCTTTTCATTTTTGTGTATCTTAAATATAAAGAATCTGAATAGAAAAGAAAAAAAAATGGTAACTGTCTATAGGATATATATTATTGAAATAGGGAAATAAGCAAAATACTTTTAAAACTTCACATTAGTATTTTTGACATTTACAATAACTCGGGTCAATACAGTACAACTTACTTACAAGGAGTTATAAATCTAATCCTTAGATCACTGATTCTCAGATGGGTGAGAAAGAGGAGAAAGAGTAGGTAGAACTGCTTAAAGTCTGGCCCCACAGCTAGCTGATTTTTCAGGAACAACATTTCAGGCCTGACCTTTTCCTGATTGGTTTTTTTTTTTTTTTTTTTTTTTTGTCTTTTGGAGACAAGGTCTGCCTGTAGCCCCAGCTGGCCTGGAACTCACTAATGTAGACCAGGCTGGCCTTGAACTCACAGAGATCCACATGCCTCTGCCTTCCGAGTGCTGGGATTAAAGTCATACGCCACCATACCTGGACCTGACTGGTGTTTCTAAAGTTTACTAAGTGTGTGTGTATGGCACAAAACTTAAAAAGATGTGTTGGCACACACTGTTTCTACAATTTCACACTGGTTACCTGTACGTGAACAATAAAAGCAACTCTATTGGCTCTGGTCATTAGACTCTTTTGCTCTGTTGTATATAATCTGATCACCTAGTACAGTAAATCACATGGACTCAATCCTATAGGCTTAGTCTATAGTAAACAACGCTTCAACAGTTTTTTTTAAATGGCTATTAAAAAAAAAAAAAAAAACGGGCTGGAGAAATGGCTCAGCGGTTAAGACCATTGGCTGTTCTTTCAGAAGACCCGGGTTCAAATCCCAGCACCCACATGGCAGCTAACAATTGTCCATAACTCCAGTTCCAGGAGATTCAACAGCCTCTTCTGTCCTCCATGGGCATTGCACACCAGTGCACTACATGCAGGCAACACACGCACACACATAAAGTATAAAGAAAACAACCAGACAACCCCTGGAGTAATTCTGCTAGACGTGCGGCACTCAGCCTCAGATCTTCTGTGCGAGTTAGGATGTCTGCACTGTCCTCCTTAGATGTGTCTTTGTGCTGCTCAGGGTGGAACTTGGAGCCGTCCCAAGGCTTCCTCTGAACTTCAGCCATCTCTCCTCCCTAGAACCTTACCATGCTCTTACCTAGGAGAATGTGGGGTGGGAAATGAAGAGGACCTAGGGTTGGCGTGACTTAAAACCCTTTCCAAGGAATTCTGCCACCAACCCACCCCACCATCACCATTACCAAAAAGCACACTTAGCGTCACTCTACAGTGATGATCTTATCTAAGTGCACACTCTTCAGCCTCCACACAGTGGGGCAGGCAAACTGTGGTACTGCTACCACAACCTTGGGAGTCTAGCTGAGCCCAGCCTCCTCCAAGGATGGCCCTCTACTAACTCCGGCTCCACTACCTCATTTCACCCAGAAGGTAGACTGTCTAAATGCACATCTGTATGGGGACAGCTTGCCCAAGATGACCTCCTTTAGTTCTTCATTAATTATGGGTAGGTTCTTGATAACAATGATGGTGGCTATGGTTTTAAATCCTAAAAGATATTTTTAACATTCAAATAAGTATAATAAATAGCTTTAACATACTGCTTTCACTTTAAGTATTTGGGTTATGTCGGGACCAATGGTTTTTCAGAGACTTTTCTATCACAGGTGTGGTCAGAATACCTACAGTCTTACTATTTTATGTCTTTAATCTAAAAACTGCCTTTCATCTATCAGTAATTGATTCAATGTTGACCGAACGGGACAGTGGGTTAACCCATATGCCACAGGCAGACTCAGCCAAGGCTATGTTCAGCAGGACTCTGATAACAGGAGTAATGGCTGGAATTGAAACCTTTTCCAATACATCCCATTGATTTGGTATTCACAGTAATGGGAGGTAAACTGTTACACATGAACACAGGTTTCTGAGTTAAGGACTCGACCCTAGTGATGTCACAGTGGCAGAGCCATGGTTACCCCTGTTGTCTTTATTCTAAATGGTTGACTTCCTGACAGATTATGAAACAAATGGAGAAATGTTTCCTTTATTTATGTTCTTTTCTTTAACTGGAGGGACTGGAGATCAAGAAAAAGTGAGGCTGGGTGTGGTGGTGCAGGCCTCTACTCCCAGCAGAGGCAGGCGGTCTCTGGAAGGTCGGTCGAGGCCAGCCTGGTCTCCACAGCGAGGTCCAGGCCAGTGGGGGCTGCAGGGAGACCCTGGCTCCAAAAAAGAAAAGAAAAAATGAGAAAAGAACTCGGGGGGCTGGGAAGGGTTCCACGTATTGCCCCGGCGGCTGTTCCGCGCGGAGACCCTTCCACCGCTGGGGCAACCCGGGGCTTCCAATCCCTCTGTCCACACCGATTTCAAACTGTTTACTTACTGTCCAGTGGTGGAGACGGTGGGCTGACCCTGCGAGCCTGCCCCTGAGGCCGGAGCTACCCCGCCCAGCAACCACGAGGCACTAGACTCGGCACGAAAGCAGACACTGCCGCCTGACGGGTCACTCGGACCCTGTGATTCCACCCAGTGTGGAGAACAGTACCCACCACCAGGGCTGCGCTGAGCACTGTGACTCGGTCGCTGTGGTCGCTCCGAGCACGTTCTAAGGGCAGGTACCGAGTGAAGGTCTCCGCCGACAAGGCCTCCGCCCCACTGGGATGACAGGGACAACATCACCAGCGGCCACTGGCGGGCGAGTGCTGGGCTGTGCCGGAGCTCACGGCCCCACGTGGGGGAGGCGCGGGCAGGAGCCGCAGGAAAGGCCCGGTGGGTGCAGACCGCCAGAGGGCCTGGTCCTGCGTCCTCGGGGGCACCCTCCTCCTAGGAGCACCTCCTCCCCCTCGGGAGCACCTCCTCCCCCCACCCCCCACCGTCACTCACCCGAGAGCGCGTTCGGCCAGGCCTCACCGGGAGAGAACGCCCGCGGCCTGCCGACTTCCCAGCAGCCGTTTGGGCACCTGCAGGGCAGCCATTGCCCTGCTCTCGTCACTTCCGTCATTCAAACCGCCCGCCAATGGCGGGAGCGAAACGCGAGAACCAACCGGGCTGCCTCCGCCGGGCAGCCCGGAAGGCCGCCCCGAGGTCCTGCCCACTCACCCGTGCGCACGCGCAGCCCCGCTCTGCGCACGCCCAGTCTTGCGCAGAGGGCCCTTATTTCTCACCCGGGCGGGGTGTGCTGTCTGACTTCCGCCCTGGAACGTGTGTTCTGTTCATAGACCCGGAAACGGAAGTCCAGGAAGGGACGCGCTCTTCCGGGAGCCGCAGGGCGTGGTGTCCGTTGCCTGGCAGCCAAGGGCCAACGTTCCTGACTGCGTCGGTTGACTGCTCCACCCAGCATGCCGCGTGGGAGGAGTCGTAGGGCACAGTGGAGAGGGTGAGGCTCGGCCGAGGTCAGTGCCCGCCTCCATTCCCTCCCTGCAGCTTTCTCGAGCTGGACTCTGCTGGTGCTGCAGACACAGTACCTGCCCTGTCCAGCCGCCCTGGTCCCGAGGCCAGGACTCTGCTGGAAGCGCTCAGTGGAACCCCCACCGTGCCCTGGCCGTGGAACCTAGCTCTCAGTACCTGGTGGCTGGGTTTCAGAGAAAGTGAGGCTGCAGGGCTTCTGCAGGGCAGGCTGAGTTGTACGTTTTACCACCTTTTATTGGCTAAGGAGTTGTCAGTGCCAAGCGTCTGGACCAAGCCAGATTGAAGGGGAAGAGAAATGAACTCCATCTCTCAATGAGAGGCTCTGTGGCCATCTTGATCCACTGCTGTGGCCTTAGTACTTGCCCACGGCTCATCCCAGGGTCCCTAGGCGACCCCAGAGACAAGAATCAAGTGAAAGCACTTTACAGATTCTAAACACTGTTCGCTTGTTTTTGTTTTTTTTTTCTGTTTAGAACTTTCTCCCATCCTTCAAGCCACAGAGGTATTGTTAGGGAAAATTTCTCTCAACAGCTAAGAGACCAAGCATTTGCCCAGGAGTGAATTAGAAAACTTACCTATGCCTTTTTGTTTTTTTGGTCTTTTTGAGACAGGGTCTCCCTGTAGCCCCAGCTGTCCTGGAACTCACTACGTAGACCAGGCTGGCCTTGAACTCACAGAGATCCGCCTGCCTCTGCCTCCCGAGTGCTGGGATTAAAGGTGTGCACCACCATGCCTGGCCTGTCTATTCTTTTTTAAATTTTATGTATATGAGTGTATTGCCTGCATGTGTGTAAGTGCACTGGTGTTTTGCAATGCCCACAGAGATCAGAGGAAGTTGGATCCCCTGGGACTGGAGTTATGGAGGGTTGTTAGCCAACATGTGGGTGCTGGGAATAGAACCTGTGTCCTCTGCAAGAGCAGCCAGTGCTCTCAACTGCTGAGCATCTCTCCAATCCTTAGTCTCTTTTCACATTCACATGGTCCCAGAACTAGCCACCAAGGCTTTAAGATTTTCTGGGCCCAGAGCAACATATAAGTCAGGTTATATAGTAGTTTTCACATGGTTAAATGGTTGCCTCCTGGGTCCTATGGCTCTTTACTTTGATGTGCCATGTTATCCCAAGAAGGTTCCTTCCTGAGTTCACCTGGTCATAGTTTACAAAGTAGATACCATAGGCATGGGTCAGGACATCTGCCACCTAGGAATCAGTCAAACTATCATTGCAGTTTATGAAAACAGATATCACCAGCAAAAATTTAGATATCTGAGCCAGATGTGGCCTTTACTCCCAGCACTTGGGGGACAGAGGCAGGTGCATCTCTGAGTTCCAGGCCAGCCTGGTCTACATAGTGAGTTCCTGGCCAGCTGGGGCCACAGGGAGACCCTGTCTCAAAAAAAAAAAAAGTTTAGGTATCTGACATGTTTGATCTACACTTGTCTTGAACTAATTGGACCAGGTGCCTAATTGAGCCATTTGGGGAATTTTCTTAGTTTCACAGAGCTTCAAGATAACACAGAGCAATAAAACATCACTGAGTAGTAAAAATCACATTTCAAGTTATCTACCTGGTAAGTAAAACAAGAGGAAAGAGGGAACTTCAAATGACCTAAGCTTATGAGGGCATTCTATAAGAATATAGTTTGGTTACAACTTCTTATCAGTACGACCAGACAAGTACCTCTGTCTCCCTGCGGTTGTGACTGACCCAAGGACGGGCACATGACCTAAACTCGGCTAACTCCAATCTTTTGCAGTAATTGTTCCTACTGGAGCTGGCAGACATGAGTTTTTCCTCCTCTTGGCTCATACTAAGATAGGAATCTGGAACCTCCCTGAGAAAGTTCTTCATCAAGTGGTTCCCCACATGCTGGTCTAAAAGCACAGGTCTGATGGTGTTTGTGTTCTTGGATCCAGTCATTCTCGACATCTGGGCAGCACATACCTGCCCGGTCTATATCTTATTGACAGGAGCCATTAAAGCCATTCTTTGACTTAAGATGCTTTCAGTAGGGCTTTTTTTAAAAATGTTTTGTAGGTCAAAAGAGACTAGAAGGTATTTATTTTTGAGATAGGGCCTCACTCAATTGGCCTGGAACTCAATATGTAGGCAGGCTGGATGTAAACTCACAGAGCTCCTCCTGTCTCTGCCTCCCAAGTGCTGGGATTAAAGGTGTGCACCACCACACTGAATGAGGCTACATCTTGGGAAATAAAATAATGATTGAGATCTTGGACCTACAGTCCAACTGCATGGATGAAAATTTCTGACTAACTCTAACCTTGAGCTAATTCCTATACTTCCCTAAAATTCAGTTTCCTCAACTCTGAAAGAAATGTAGTTAGTAAAAGTGCTCAAAAGGTTGTTGTGAGGCTTAATGCTGTTGTGACAAAGCCAGGCATAAAGTATGCAACATTTATCACCATTTCCCCTTTTAATACATTTGTTTTTTACTGTATGGGGCTGAAAAAGAACTTTGAAATATGTATTGGTGCTTTAGTTTTTAAGTTTTTAAATGTTTTATTTTTATTTTATGTGTATGAGTTTTGCCTGCCTGTATGTAAGTACATCATGTGCATGCAGTGCCTGTGGAGACCAGAAGAGGGTGTCAGATCCCCTGGAACTGGAGTTATGGATGGTTGGAAACTGAACCTGGGTCCTCTGCAAGAGCAGCCAGTGTTCTTAACCACCGAGCCATCTCTTCAACCCTTGGTTTTGAATTTTGGTTAGGTCCTTGTACTTTCCAGGTATAGAGAGGGTAGGTACATTTAGCTTATGAAGTTGGGAATGAACATTTGTGTTAGTATGTGTGTTTGCACATGTACATGCACATGTACCAAGGTCAGAGGTCAGTGTCAGGTGTCTTCCTCTATGGCTCACCACCTTGTCCTTTGAAACAGTGTCTCTCACTGAACCCAGAGCTCACTGATGGGAAGACTGGTTAGCCACAGTGTACCAGGGATCCATCTGTCTCCAAACACACCCCCATGCCCACAGCACTGGGGTTATAGATGTGCACCACTGTGCCTGGTGTTTGTGTGTGTGCTTCAGATCTGAACTTGGGCATCTATGTTTGTGTGGCAGGCATGTACTGACTGAGTCGTTTCTGCAGCCCTGGTAGTAAGCACTGATGACCACTGGTCAAGAAGACTTGCCTGTTGGTAAGTGTGCTGGTTAGTTTTTGTCAACTTGACACAAATTAGAGACACCTTGGAGGAGGGAACCTTAATTGAGGCATTTCCTCCATTGGATCGGCCTGTGGGCATGTCTGTGAGTCATTTTCTTAACTGTTAATTGATGTGGGAGGACTTAGCCCACTGTGGGTAGTGCCATCCCTAGGCAGGTGAGCCTAGGCTGCACAAGAATGGTAACTGAGCAGGTCAGAGGAGGGCAGCCAGCGTTCCTCCGTGGTCTCCACCTCAGTTTCTGCCTTGTCTTTCCTTGATGATGGACTATAAGCCAAATAAACCCTTCCTCCTCTAGTTGCTTTTGGTCACAGTATTTATTACTAGCAGAAAGCTAACTGGAATGAAAATTGGTACTAGGAGTGGTGTATTACTGTGAGGGACCTGACCTTGTTTTGAGGGGGAGGGCTGTGGGAACCTTTAGAACCTTGGAAAAGCCATTGAGTGCTCAAAACATAATGGGCTGCTCTGTGGGTGCTTGGAAGACAAGAAGGTTGAGGGAAATGCAGACCATGGAGACCTGGCTTGTGAAGTTTCAGAGGAAAGAAAAGACTCCATTAGGGAATTGTGTAATATATTTTGGATTAAAAGGAAACCTTTTGTACTTCACTGGAGGAGTGGATGCTGGGTATCTGAAACTGAAGAGTCAGCTGTGATTAATTAGACATCATTGAGGTGAAATCTTCTGGGGAGTATTTCCTAAGGGTCAGCACTCAGAACTTGTCAGCTGGGGGTGGGAAGCTGGGGGGAGGCTGCATCTCAACCTGGCAGCTGAACTTGGAAATGTAAGCATCTCTCATGTGGTACTGGTTTTGGAGGCACAAAGGGATCATGGGGAGAAGCTGAGGCTTCACACTGTGAGGGTCCAGGAGAAGATTTTGGTGAAGATGCCTCAGTTGCAGTGGAAACCCCTGTATTTAAGGGATCACAGAAGTTCACGCTTAGCACCATGTAAGGGTCAGAATCTCTAAAGAGGCAAGGAGAGAAGCCATTGGTGAAAGTGAAGCCTCAGTTGCAGGGAAAACCCCAGCATATTGAAGATGCCAGGATCATGGGATGACCAAAGGACAGTGACAAGTGTGGTGTGGATCAGGCCTAAGCGGGAGAGATGGGGCTACCCAGGTCCTTTAGAGCCCAGAAGATTGTGAGGCCCATGTGTCCGTTCAGACCTACAGCAACTCCCTCCCCAGTGCAGCAGGGCCTCACAGGTTAGCAAGCCCCTGAAAATGCAGGAACCAAGTGGATGAACACCCTGGTCTTTGAAGTCAAGAGAAGCAGACTTTTCTGTACCTTTTGGCCAAAACAGCAGGTTTTCCCTTTGATGATCTTGAAGGATAAACAGACTCCACCTTTTGATCAGAGACCCAAGGAGTCACTTCAGCACAGC